TTAGACGATGTGTTGCAGAGTCTGATAAGAAATAACACGAAGCTCGGCTCAGAGCATCAGCATGTTTCATTTTAGTCCCTGAACGATGCTCAATCTTGTAGTTGAAATCCTGCAAATACAACGCCCACCGTGCGACGCGAAGAGGAACTTCCTTCTTGTTCATTGTCATCTTGAATGCGTTACAGTCCGTAACAATTGTGAACTTTATGCCCAAAACATAAACACGCCACTTGACTAGAGCTCCAATAATAGCCAACACCTCCAGCTCGTACGAATCGTATTTTTCTTCAAATGGTGAAGTTTTGCGGCTCATGTATTGAACTGGGTGGAAGGAACTGTCTTCTGGATCTTTCTGCAATAAAACAGCGCCAAAGCCGTGCTTAGAAGCATCTGTGTGAATTTCTGTTTGTAAATTTGGATTGTACAGCTTCAGGACTGGTTCACTGATGAGAGCAGTCTTCAGCTTTTCAAACGCCAATCGTTGTTTCTCCCCGAATTCATACTTAAAATCACCTCTCAGCAAATCCGACAAGGGCCTGGCAATGGAAGCGTATCCGTTAATGAATTTTCGAAAATAGGACGTCAGTCCTAGGAATCTCTGAATACCTTTCTTGTCTCGCGGTTCGGGAAATTCTTTCACAGCTTGTATTTTCTCAGGACCTGGAGTGATAGTTCCACTCTGAATGATGTAGCCTAAAAACTGTACTCTGTTGCTCAGTATTTGACATTTACTCCAGTTGATACGCAAACCGTTTCTAGAAGCGACCTCTAACACATCTTTCAACTTAGCAAGTCCTTCTTTAATATCCTGGCTGGGAATAATTACGTCGTCCATGTAAACAACGACAACATTGGTAGCAATGAGCTCTCTTAGAACTGCCATGATAAATCTGGTGAAAACCGCAGGCGAATTCGATATGCCAAACGGAACATAAAGGAATTCGAACTGTCCTGACTGAGTTACAAATGAGGTATACTTTCGAGAACCTGGTTCCATGGGAACGTGGAAGAAACCGTTGGTTAGATCCAAAGTGGTGAATATTTTGGATCCTTGCAGCTTGTCCAGAACGGTCTCCATATGAGCCATAGGGAAATTGTCTCGTATAATCTTTTCGTTTAGCTTCCGATAGTCACAACATAGACGCTTCTTTCCGTTTTTCTTGGATACCAAAACTACTGGCGACGCATATTCCGAGGTACTCGGTTGGATTATCTTCTCTGAAAGCCACTCCTTAACTTGATCGTCCACTGTTTTCTGGTCACAGACAGGTAAGCGCCGTGGATGCTGATAAACAGGTATCTCGTCCTTCAGAATGATTTTCATTTGTACTGGTGCGTCTACATTGCGTTCGGCTACGTACTCCTCAATCAAATTCTTGACCTCGACCACCTGAGATTGATCTAAATGCGACAAATCAACTTGACCTGAAACTGCCACCTGTTCTGCACACATGCCCCTAAACTCTTGTAGAAAATCGGTATCTATGTTGCTTTGCTCTTCTTCGATACTTCTGGATGCGTTTCGACGCAAAAACTCGGTGCCTTCCTTAGTAACTTTCATGTCCACAATATCAAGAATAGTTCTGCCTAAAATAGCGTCAAAACCCATGTCTTCTTCCGGAACTACGTGGAACTCTACTTCCATTTCGATATTGTCTATTTCAACTGGTAGGATTATACTTCCAAACGTCAATACCTGACTCTCGCCTATTCCAGTCAAGCATTTCTCTCTTCCAGTGAGAAGTTTGCTGCCTATCTTGAGGAAAATGTTCCTGCGCATCAAGCAAAGATCTGCACCTGTGTCGACGAGTCCTTTAAATTGAACAACGGGATGCTTTACAACTTTTAGTTCAAGGCCGGAAGCTGTAAACTCGCTTTTTGGTTTCGTGGCTGCGCTCTCCAAGTGAATAGCATTAGTGTTACTCTCTTGCTTTACCTCAAGTTCGGCCTTGCACTGTGCAGCACGATGACCTGGCTGTCCGCAACGATAGCAATTGAAATTGTCCTTCTTCTTGCAATCCTTTTTTAAGTGGGACGGATCTCCGCACTTAAAGCATTTTCGCACAAATTCAGGTTTCGAAACAAAACCTTTCGATCCTTCCGTCTCAGCTGTACGCTGCTCATTTTTGAATGATCCCTTGAAAGTGCCACGGACTTTCTTGTAGACTTCGATCTGCTCCTTCAGATCCCTTATAGTTTTGGCCTGGTATAACATGATCTTGTTTGCCTTCGCATCTGGCACTCCCTTCACGAAGTATTCGATTAAACTCTCTTCGTCTAAATTGACTGGCTTAGCAATTTCCATCAACGCATACAAATATTCCTGAAGAGTTTCTCCTTTTGCTTGCACCCGCTGACCTAGCTTGCGATGCACCTCAGCCGACGATATTTTAACTGCAAATTCCCTGCGCAAAGCTGTTTTGAGAGAATCCCAATTGCGAATATTAACCTGACTGCGAATGAACGATTTAGCAGCTCCACTGAGCAACTGTTTAGAGTAAATAAATAGTTGAAGCTGATTCCACTCAACGGTTAAAGCACATTCTTCTAACTCTTGAATCCAATGGTCAACATCTGGGCTACCTGTTCCTGCAAAAGTTGTTACACTGCCTTCTACATCTTTAAGAGTAAACATAGAACGGCTTTTCGGCATTTCCGGCATTGTACGATCGAGAGCGGTAGCTACAGATTCGATTTCTGAATCGCTGTTTTCATCCTCATCACGAATATTAAAGTGAGCAAGAAGCCTATCCTGTAATTCGCGCTTTCTACCGGTTGTGACTAAATTCAACTCTCCTAGCTTCGCGCGCAAATCTTCGCATCTCATAACCATTATTTCTTCGAGCTGCATTTTGAAATGTTTACAATAATTGATATTAGCTTAACAATAACAATATGGTTTTTCAAGATTTTAAGAATTTCTTACGTTTCAGTCGTTCTTACGTTCAGTTCTGTTCAAATTTTATACATACAGTCTGCTTAACACTGCTTCTCAGCCACTTCCAATTAGATCTTCTTAGCCTTAACGTTTTGCACCTCTTTCGATGCACTGCTTTCGAGACTGCTTGACCGCCTGTCTCGCCTTCCACCAGTTACTTGCCAACTGCTTGAACGCCAAATCTGCTTGCTCCAGTTAGCGTCACTTTTTGTGCTTGTCGCTGCTTGTCCGCCTGTGCCCTTCCGCGATGATCTGCCTGCTCCAGATTCACCTCCGTTGTCTCTGCTTGTCCGCCTGTGCTCTTCCACGATGATCTGCCTCTGCCGTCACCTCGCCTCTGCCTCTCCAGTCCCTGCCTCACGCTCCTGACTTGCTCCGCTCGCCTCTGCCTTACGCTGCTCCCAACGTCTTCCACAGATCAGCCTTTGCAAACTTCAGTTTTCCGTGACCGGCCCGATCTCAGACTGCCGCTCTGACGATAATTGACGCACTGCCTCTGGACTTCAGCCGCTACTTCCACATGCGTCTCCTTTGCGTGTCTTCTAGCTCGTCTCAAAAGCGCTCACACATTCACAATGTTGCTCTCCAGCGTTGCCTCGTTTCACAAACTGCCTCGTTTCAGTTGCAATTTCACCACACTTCGCAATTTTTGTTCATCTGTAGTTGTGTGTGAAAACGCACTTCAGCACTCTCCAATTGTCTGGCACTTGATGTTTGGGTTAAATCCCGGTTGAGCCCCCAAATTGTAGGAATTTAATATTCAATACAATGATTTTATTTGTGGGATTTGGTTTAAACATAAGTGCTTAGATTAATTTTACAATGTTCTTTTCTTTTAGTTTGCACGAGCTCTTATTTCACGACCTCCTCTTTTCTCTCTCGACGATCTAGTGATGACAAAACATGGCATCTTTCATTTTCTTAATTCTGCTTATTCTAACTATCGAGAATTACTTCAATATCGTCCTGACCTCGCGTTGCCAGATAGCTTAAACCGCTTCGAGTGTGCCGCGAAGGAAACCCGCCTGTTTCAAATCCTACAATCCTAAAAAAGTTTTTGCTGGCGAGTGGGTTAAAAGTAAGAGCAAACTGCGAGAGGCGAGTACATGGTACATAAGCGGCTTATGCCATTAGTTCGGAATCGCAGTTTTGGCACAGGACTGGACCACCTGCATCCCAGCCATATCCGCCCCGCCTATCTATCCGATGTCGATGTCGGCCAAAGTTGCCCCGCAGGTGGCCCATTGGCATCTGCCAACTCATGCGGCAAACTTTTAAAGACTTGGCTCCATCGGCAGAGGCCACTAATTGGTAGAAGTTCGACGTGCAAAATCAAAAGTTATAACTCACAGATAATTGGTGGGAGGGGCTGCCAGAAACAGAAGTTAGAAAATGGCAGAAGGCAATAAAAAAATTGTCTGGGTTAGGACATTCTTTTGTTTATTTTTAGACCAACTTCAAACGATATATTTTTCTGTTAAGCTCAAGTCATGATATTAAATTCTTTACTCCTTAAATTCCTTCCATTTAAAGTTGCACTGGCAAGACATCATTATTCTTTTGGCATCAGCTTGCCAAGAGCAGATGAGAATGCCGCCATCAGGTCTGACTTTATAATGACCCCGGCAAGTCTCCCCTTGAGACTGCAGCAAAAGCACCGGGAGCAGAATTCAAAAACAGGAACAGGACCTGGAAGAGAACAACTATTTTTGTCGCATGCTTCGCGCGGATTTTGACTGCATAAAATATGAAATTAAATTGCTAGCCAACAAAATGGCGCCTGGGAAAATGACAGAAATATGAGACAGAAAAGTGCGCCACTCCGTGCATTTTCGCCGCGCTTTTCCCCCTGAATCTTTTTTTTTTGGCACTTTGTAGCAAATTCTCTTGGCGCCGCCGACTTGATGACTTGCAGCTGTCGCATTTCTTTTCAGACTTTAGCAACTGCAGCGAAACGGAAACCAATGGCTGCCGTCACCTGGTTAGCCACCACGTGGATGCGGATGCGGATGTTGGGATTTCATTTGACGGCAAATATTGCGGCACCTCGTGGGAAGTTCATTTCACACACTGTCGAAAAAATACACAAGCCTTTGATTATTTTGGCTGGAACCTAACCAAACTGAGAAGACATTCAGAGGTCTCAAGGGTAGGTATAAAAACAGATAAAATTCACCTATGGTGACCTAGAATAGCGGCTTACATTAAATATTTAAGCTCGCTTTATGGTATTATTTATATATTAGAGTAACAGTAGGCTTTAGATGAATATTTTGAACTAATTTTCTATTTGCTTGAAAACGTTGAAATTATCTTTAGTTTCTTGATCCTTCAGAATGGGAGAGAGATCTTTCCGGAAGCTGGGTCTAGGAGTGATCCTGTCGGCCTTGGTTCTGTACATGTACCTGTTCATGGGATCCGAACAAACGGCTGGAAAGATTCGTAACGCATTCTTTGTGAACACGCCTGGATGTCGCATCGTGGCCATGGATGTGATAAACCCGACCATTGCCAACGTCACTCTGTGGGAGTGGCCGCCACAGCGTAGGATCCATCAGACCTGCCTGAGCTCTACCTGGTTTCGCCCAGAGGTGATGGACGGGAGTTGGCATTTGAAGTTTGTTCCTAACATGGACCGCATTTTGGATAACTACGGTTTCAATCACGAAGGACAGATTAACTGCTTTTGGTCGGAGTTTCAGAGCAATGGGTATTCGGAAAACAAAATGACCTATCTGGGCAAGTTTGATTTGGAGTATCCCTATGCTGTTAGGGTTCCCAAAAACTCGCTTCAGCTGCGAGTAACGTGCAATAGTTCTTTAACAAACGCCACTCTTTGCGATGAAGCCCACTACTTCATTAATCCTCCGCCGCAGGAGCTGCTGACCATACCTCCCGCGACCTTGAAGTACTGGGATAAAAACATGAACACCAAGGATGGATCTCCACCTATTTCCGTTATGATCGTGGGCTTAGACTCCATCTCGCATCTTCAGTTTCTTCGGCAAATGCCGAAAACACAGGCTTTTATTCGCCAGAAAACGTCCCACGTGGAGTTCTGGGGCTACAACAAGGTCGGGATAAATGCCTATCCTAACTTGATACCCATGCTTACGGGCTTAAGTGAGGCTGAGAGCAAAGAGTATTGGAGCACGAAGAGGGAATTGGATGACTTACCATTTATCTGGAAGGACTATAAGGCGGCCGGCTACAACACCAGCTTGGGTGAGGACTCGGCTCCCTACTCGATGTTCTACGTCGGCAAGCCAGGCTTTGCTAGGAAGACCACTGACCATAACTTTCAGGATCTGATGACCCAAGTCTACGTGCAACGGTCGAAAAGCAGGATGGATGACATAACTTGCATCTTGGATATCCTTATGGAGATGAACTACAAACTGTTGCCGCACATGCAGCGTTATCCTTTCTTCTCCTTCTACTGGTGGGGCAATGGCGTTCATGATTACATGGGAGCGTCCCGCTTTGTGGACGAGAGATTCAAGCAGTTTTTCAGTCGCCTGAACGACGCCGGAATCATGAATAACACCATCATAATGTTCATGTCCGATCACGGCATGAAATGGGGTCCCTTTCGTCAGACTTTCCAAGGCATGATCGAGGACTCTCAGCCGTTTTTGTCGGTCCTTTATCCTGCATGGATGCGAGATAAATACCTGATGGCAATTAAGAATTTGGCTGGCAATGCCCACAGTCTGGTGACCACCTATGACCTTCATGAGACCCTCAAACATGTCATGCATCCCAGCTCCCTGGAAGATGAATCCATTACACTGCGGTCGAGGGAATTGTTAAGGCGCCACGCTTCGCAAATTCCGAGGGGAGTCAGCCTTTTCCTACCCATTCCTCCAGAGAGGACTTGCCACACCTCGCATATATCCAGCCAATTCTGTCTGTGCCACAAGCAGGTAGTCATTTCAGCTGATAATCCGATAGCCAAGCTGTCGGCCAATATTATCGTGAATTCGGTCAATAAGTTGTTGGAGGAGTATCCCGTCTGTATTTCATGGCAATTGGAATCGATTGTTAGTGCCCAATTCGCTGTTCCCGAACGTCAGAATGAAGAATTGTATTCTGAAAAGGATATCGTAGTCCGACTGAAGGCGAAACCGGGAGTGGCCTATTTCGAGGGAATGACCAGGATGCTCAAGGGCAGACTCTACCTCATTGGCGAAGTGGTTCGGGTCGGTGGCGCAGATTCTAAGAAAAATCAGTGCATCCAGAATCCCTTCCTGGAACCATTCTGCTATTGTTCTCTTTAAACATTTTTTATATGGACTTTTGCTAATAAAAATTCGGAAATTTTACTTTATTTATAAATCATATATTATGGCTTCAGCATTTTTAATAATAAGCATGACATCGATGACAATGTAGAAGTCAGAAGTAAATAATTAAATTAACTTTATAAATCCCTTTTAGTTACAGACATTTTCATACTGCCTGAGTTTCAAGGATTTGTGAGTGGCTTAAATGCCATTTCCCACACTCGTTTCATTTCAGCCAGCACTCGTACTTTATTTCTCCGTTAGCCCGAGGGTGCAAAACCATTTTAGTCAATTGTTGTTTGCTTGCTTTTGAGTCAGTCTGCTGCTGCAGTTGTTGTACCAAACTGTTAGTTTGTTTGTTGGTTTTAGCCAAACATTTTGGTCAAAATTTAGAGTCAAATATCTGGTCTTGGCTTTCGCCCTTTTGGAAAGTCGATTATGGAATAAACAAAATGCGAATGGGTTGGAGTTGCTTTCAGACGGGCAAATGGAACTTTGAGCTGAAATTAATTTATCTGAGGATATTCTAAACTGGTTGCGCTACACACAGAAAAGATATATAGAATATTTAGCCAGCGGTCAAATCGTTTATTGAGCTGTCAGCTTACTCTACGAATTCGATGGACGAGAGTTAGTCATGGCAGAGACACAAATAATACTTTATAGCAGCTCGAAACTAAATTATATTAATTAGACTTTTTGCTTTATCCAAAGTGTGAACTGGTTAATGCTTCGGCTCTGTGTCGATTTATTTAAATTAACTACCCGAGATGGGTCCATAATGAGCCACTGCGTATGAGCAATATTTGTCTAAATTATGCTCCTTTTTCTTAGCACTTTCTTCGCACAAATTGCTTGCAGTCAATTTGTTCAAACGCTTGGCTGCCTCTCGGCCATCACGATAATGTTGATGATGATGGATTTATGTCTGCCATTTGTTTTAGCTTTTCGAGCTCCCTTTCTGCTTTCGTTGGTGTACTTTTTCCCCTCTGACTTTGGTTTTTGTTGCCTTGTGCGTCGGCTGTCATCGGCAGCAACGGGAAAACTGAAGAGTGAAATGCCAGTGCAAAAATGTCATAAATCAATTTTCACAATTCGCAAATTGCCCCGAAAAAAAAACGATGGACCTTGTAAGCCGAGTATGGTTTTTTTTTTTCTCAGAATTAATTGAACAAATGCCGGCAGCTTTAAGCGTGAATTTACTTCAAGGGTCGGGAAATTGTAGTAAACTGAAAAATTAAGCCCGGAAAAGTGTATGGCTATAATCGTAAATCATCGCCAGACATTAAGGAAGCCTGAGCCAGGAAAGAGATATGATTAATAATTGCATTTTCATTACTGGCTATATAATGCCCAAGGAAAATACTGAAAAACCAATTTCACTGAGAAATAAATTTATTTCATTTATACAAGAAAAGTTACATTTACAGTTTACATTTCTTATAGAGCTTATATAAAACGTTTTTCTTCTGCAATAATTATTATTTAATCAAGTTTTGTAGAAAATTCGTTTTAAAAACATTAAACTTCAGCCTCACAAATGAAATGCATTCCAGTGCTACACGGGTAATCATGCATTAATTTGGTATTTAAGCCAATGCAGTTCTCATCTTTTTTTTTGTCCGGCTGCAAATCATCCCAATGTAAGAAATTCACCTTTTTTCCACTCGCCACAGAAGTGTACACGTTCCGATTGGCCAGGTTGGTAACGCCCAGCCAGTAAAGGGTTCTGGGCAACTTGCCCACGATAGCGGTCAGCTCCGCCTCGCTCTCGATGGTCGCCAGCTGACCGCCCATCTGACGGCATAGGTTGAACGCACTAAACCAAGAATAAACAAATTTACCCTTTTCGATATAGAAATATCGTTTGCCTATCTTTTCATATTCCTTTGGCAATTTGGAAATTTTAGCTGCGGAATCGGAAATTTTAGCTGAGGAATCGGAAATTTCAATTGGGGATTTGGCAAGTTGAATGGCCACATTATTAGTATTTGTATTAGATTGATTTCCACACATCTCCAGTGCCTGCGGCTCACCAGCTACCACACCTCCTTGAAGATGAAGCGCACTGAGGGCACGCAATATAACCGCTTCCAGCTTCATCATTCTGAGCTTATGACCACTGAGAGCAAGAACCAACAGTGCCCTGATTTGTAATTTATCAACTGGCTTTCCAAGAGCCCTTCTTTTAGTCTTTATATAATGTACAAGTTAATTGCATATTTCGCAATGCACTTCCTCATTTGATATGGATAATAACAAGCGAAAAATCAAACTAGCTGATGGCATTCGGTCACACTTGCTCAATAAGAATAATACGAATAAGAATTCCTGAATTATATAATATGGAATGAGAAGTACATTTTTTTTTTTTTTTTTTTTTTTTTTTTTTAATATGGAATGAGAAGTACATGTTAAGAATTATTTTATAGAAAATGCATTTTGTTGAGTATTTCATAATTAAAATTATGATTTAAGATGGCAAACTTCTTAGGTGCCAAAAAATAAATTTTTATCTCTTATAAAACAAAAAAAAATATTCAAGTTCATAAATAAAACCCAGCCTATATTAAAATGTCACAATTTACTCAATCCTGCTACGACTTTAAATACTAAACAAGAACGATCTTCGCTTTGAAATAACAACATCATCGTCTTGAGGTACAGAGAACGACAAAAGTGAGAGAAAGGAACATAAAAAGCCAAATTAGCAATGTTTCACATCAAAGTGCGCATTAAATCCGAGACGATAATCACACACACGCACACCCACAGACGACTGCGAGGTCGTCCTTTTTGCCTCTTGGTATGCGTAAGGACATACAAAAAACATAATTAACCGCGACCTGGCGACAACAACAAAGCCAACAACAAGGAGGAAAACGTCGACGACCTACAAAAAGCCGTGAGCCTAAAGGTTCCACAACATACACTGAGAAAATGTATATGAAATGAATAATAGTTTATTTATTTATTTATTTTTGGGTTACATAAGAATCTTGAGGTTTGGCAATAATTAATTCCAAACAAGGTAAGTTTTCTATTTCAAAAATAATTTTTAGCTAATGATTTCAAATTAAGTATTAACACAAGACTTTACATTTTCGGCTTGTGTAATCTGCTGCGCACTTGGCCAGCATTTTGCCCCTGTTTTTCCCCCTGTGGCATCAGGTTAATGTGACGAACACAGCTGCTGCCGCTCAGTGCCTGCCGCCCAGCTCTAGCCGACATTTTTGCAAATTACACACTTTTGAATATAAAGTACTCGCATAACGCACCCGAGACAGCCAGTCTGTGGCCACTTTTAATGGGCCGAGCCCCCAGTTTTCCCAGAAATTTATTAGCAAAACCCTGGTCTGGGGCGGGGTCGTCGCGTCTAGACATTCGCCGACAATGCCTTTAGGTCAACTCTTTAGCTCCCAAATTGCATTCCCCAGCTCTGGATTGCAATTAAGCTTGATATATGAGACGAAACTGGTTCAGCTTTCGTTTCGTTTCGCTTCGTTTTGGGTAACATGGATTTATGAATTCCGAAAAAGCACTCGAAGCCTGAGTGGGGATGGACGCCAGCCCAATGCCATTTGTAAATCAAATTCTGTCCTGGCAAAAACATCAAAATGTTTCTACTGAAAGAGAACAAAAAATTATAGTCCAAAAACAAGCTTCCATTTTTGACTTGTCGCCATGCTAGTTTCCCAAATTTAAGCCTCTTGCAACCGAAAATATGGGAAAATGTGGGAAATGTTGTCGTTGCATGCAGGGAAAAAGTCGAAAAATATGTGCTGCATGAGATTTATCTTTGTGTTATACCTCGCAATTATAGAGGCTTTTACTGCAGAGATTTTTTGTAGAAGATTTTTATAGGAGAAAACTGTAGGCTAAAAGAAACTGAAGGAAGTGAACTTTGCTTAATTCTGCTACTTTTTCTCACTAATATTTATACATATTTCAAATACTCGCTCTAATATAATATAACAATTTCAAAGAACTATAATTATGAATGAAATTTAATTCATTTAGTCATGTTTCCTTAAGTAGCGTGCCCCTTAAAACTCCAATTATTCTAGTTAAATTTATTCACTCACAAATCACTCTGAAGTCGAATAAAGGAGCCAAGTGCAATTTAATCCTTTTACAAACACATTAAAATGTTGCCAGCAGCTGTTGAGCCAGGACCATTGTTCCCAGGAAAATAAAATTAAAAAAAAATAGAAAAGATTGGGAGGTGGAAAAGGAGAAATGGGGAAAGAAGTAAAAAGAAAGCGAAGCATTTAATGATAATTACAGCGACCATTAGCAATTGTCTGGCGGCAATAATAACAAAGTGAACATAAAAAGCAGACTGCTAAGTGAGGAGGTGGAGGAGGATCAGATGGGTGGGGGGATCAGAGGATGGGTGGCCAATCGAGGGACTAGAGCGTGACGCGCTTTTCAATTACCACACCGCTCTGGCTCAGTCTAATGAATTGTTAAATTATGTAATGAAGCGTGTACTTTAGATAAATGAAAACTAATTAAATTAACTCCGCAAGCAGTAACTGGCAAAGAGCAAAGTAAACTTTGGCCGGAAAGAAAAAGGATCTAGCCGTGCCACTTTTCCTCTACTCGTTTTCCCCGACTGCCATTCAGGCGGATTTAATTTGTGTTGTTTGCAAACATCGGTTTCCAAATTGGAAAACTAATTGTTTGCCACACACAAGCACACACACAGCCATTTGACTAAGTAAATACGAAAAACCAGATTCCGAGTAGTGTTTTCTAGCAATTAGGCACGTTCGATGGCATAAGCTCTTATGGTTAATTGCCTTTCACCTCGTACACATCGTCCCCATTGTCCTCCTTCCCACCACTTGTTTTGGTCTTTTCTGCATTTAATGAGTCATTCGATTCGATTTCGAATGGGTCACGTAAAACATTAAAATGAATGAATGACACCGGGGGATGGGTGTTGGGAGGGTTCCTGAGAAAAATAGGGGTAGAGCATCGTTTGCACATGACAACCAGATGGTAATAAATTTGGAGTTTGCCAGACATTATAGGGAGAGAGCCATAAATGGCAAAGTCATGAGGCGTAACCAACTGGTTGTAAGAATAATATAAAAGAAGTGGAACAATTATGAGTTTACTAGGTCAAGAAGGGGCTAAGATACTATACCTGAAAAATAGTTGGGTAAAGAGTATAACATTCCAAATTATGCAGGATATACTTTGACATTTAAAAAAAATATATTATTAATTTTTAACTAAAATTTCTAGGAATAGAAGTCACAACATTTGATAATTTATGCAAATGCTTCTTTCCTGGACTTGGCCACTCCATTTAATCCTGGTTCAACTCGCTGCTATTCAACCTTTTTCACCCCTTCTTTTTAAGGACCTCTTTCCACTTGTTATTCTTGGCCCCTGGTTGCTGTTAACTTCTGAGCCTTTCTGTCACCTTTTCGCTTGATCAAATTCGACACTTCAAATAACACTTTATTCCACTCACTCCCCCTTTTTGTTGTTGTTCTTGGTACTTAAGTGTGAGTGTGTGTTGTCCTTTTGCACATTTGGCTGAACAACTTAACAATTTTTGGACAACTTTTTTAAATTCCTTAAGCACGTCGACTGCAAAACTTTGCGCTGGCAAAAAGTAATTTTGATTTTATTAGCTGTGTAGCACCTGATGGCATTTCCTTCCCCTGCCCTTTCCTTTCTTACCGTCCTCTTTATCACTTCTTGGCTTTCAGCTTTCAATTCAATTTCAGTCAATTGCGTGTTGGGCGCAAAGTTTTTCCCACACACACACACACATACACACAATGGGAAAGCCAAAACACCCGAAGCCCTGAAAATTCGGCGACAACTTGACAAAGTCAACAGCTTGATGGGCCAAAAGCGCAGAAGGAAAAGCGCCAACTGCCAAAAGCTAAGAAAAGAAAATATATAGAAAAACACGACAAACAATTTGTTGATATCGACATTTGCCGTTGTCGATATTTTCCTGTCAAGGCGTGGAAAAAATCCAAGACAAAGCCGGGGAAAAACTTTCCGGCCAAATGCCAAGGACTCGGTCAAACGATAAGAGAAGGGAGGGAAAATTAATTTGACCCCTCAGCCGAAGAGAATTGCTACAAAGAATGGTAACTATTTGTTAGAAAAATCTTAGCCTCAAGAAAAATATTGTGTTTCTCAAGGGAACAGGTTTCGTTTTTAAGCTAAAGTTTGGTATAAATTACTATAAAGAACAGAATTTCTATCTGAAAGCCTTTATGGTACCTAAGTCTGGATGATTTCTCCTTATAATTTTCCTTTAACTAGTTTCTGTATTATTCCGTAAATATTTAATACAAACTTTTATACAAAACACTAAGTTTGTATTTAATGTAATTTTAAACAGTTTTATTTTCATTCTTATTGGTCGCCACGATAATCTTCAGTGTGTGTTTCACTTGTTTCACTTCTGTCTATCATTTCTGTATCCTCGTCATCACTCTGCATATCCAAATCTATCAGATAGCCCACCATATTGAATTCGGCCCTGAGTCTTTGCTCCCAGCGATTTATGAAATCATTTTCGCATACCCCCAGGGAATAGCATGCTATATGCAGGACCTTGTTGGCATCGCATCCTGCCAAATGGGAGTAGAGACCTTGCTTGGAGAACTTCTCCCGGTCAGGACTCAGATCGTAGATTTTGCCATTTAAAGCGGTATAAACTGGTTGATCTGGGTTCAGGCCATTAAAGGCGGCCAATTGCTTGATGTTCAGAAGAATAACCTCGTTTTCCTCGGGTGATTTGTCGTCAGTTGAGAATTCGCTGGCATTTCCTTTTAATTTGGTATACATTTGCGATAACCTTGTGGTGACAAAGTAGCCCAGACCAAAGGAAAACATCAGCTGGCAAATGGGATTTTTGAAGAAAGATATCAAGAATCTAGAGTTCAGTTCTGTTTAGAATTAATTGAGTTAAATAAAATTGAAATTAAAATAAGGACATCCATTGCCGAACTCACTCCCAGCATACAAGTGACCCAGCAACTGCATTTTTGCTATCAAAACTTGTGGTTCCAACATAATTTATTTTTTTAAATTATAATATTTTTATATATTGTTGAAATATTATTCCAGAGTTACTTAAATTTTGAAGCTATCGAAACGAGTTGGAGTGCAAACTCACCAGCAAATTTGATTCATACTCAATTAAGCCGGGTTAAGAGCAATTTACCGCGCAATGGAGAGCGAATGAAAAATATTGGACACTCCACAAATGTTAAGCCACCTGCTGCCAGGCTCATTTACATCGCTCATATAAATTACATACTGCACATACACGGGGTCGTGTGCGGATGGAGCTGTGTCTGCGCCATTTGTTATTAACATTAATGCCAAATGCGATCGTAAAAAACGGAGCTTAAAAACATTTCCATGCGTGCGAGTGCGAGTGTGTCGCCTGTCTGCTGTCAGTTGCTGTTTTTATCAAATTGGTTGTACTTGGACTTTAATATGACTTAATAAGCTCATTACAATTTTTTTGCGCTATGTGTGCTTACAACAAGGATGTAATTTCGCGCCATGAGAGTGCTCTGGCGAGCACACACACACATACGTCTGTGTGTAAATACAAGTACGACTGCAGGGCACAGCGGCAGGACGAAGGAGTATGGTGGTGATTTGGGTTGAATTTAAGAGATACCCTGCTGAATTCTTTGAAAATAGGAAAGTTAGCTGAGACAATCTGTTTATCATTCATAAAATTTAATAAATTTATATTTATTTATATTTTAAATTATTTTTTTTTCGACCTGCTGACAAGTAGGAAACCTTTTTTTTGCAATTAAATACAGATTAAATGTTATTATTATGTGGCAAGGTGAATATTTAATATATATTTTTTTTAACAATAAACCAAATAAATTCGCATTTAATAATTGTTTTTATTTGATATTTAAGCCACTTCGATTCATAACCATTTTTTGTTTATATAATATTCTCTTTCTATCCCGAACTCTCCGAATTTTCCACAGTAATACCCATTATATCCGTAACGGGAATCAAGAGAAAACTGGCAAGCGTAGCGCGTTTTCCTTTCCGCCTTATGCTCGCATTAAAATTTGCATAACGTTGATTTTGTTGTGAGCACATTACGCATACGCCGCGTGTGACGTTGGCTTAAATTGCTTTGGGCACTCGGTTTGCGGCTCGCTGCTTCCTTTGCCCGTTGTGTTTGCCTTTTTTTTTTCCTTTCCGGTTTTGTTTTCGCTTATTTTAATTTAATAAATTAAAACATATTTCGCCGCTGTTCAAATATAATTACATTTCCTTCCAGACCGCACTCGCATCCGCTCAGCCTTGCCAACTCTTTTAATTAAAAGTAAAAATCATATAAATAACAAAACATCCGAACAAAAAATCCCTTTAAAGTTCCTATGGCTGCTGCCATTTCTGCTGGTTATTAATAAACTTTTCAATTGCCCACCACCAACTGCTGTGTCGTATTAACTTTGTCTGCAGTACTCACAAATTTCCTCCCCCGCTCTCCACTGTCTCTTGTTTGGCTTATTAGTCCCGCTCTGCTGAAAATTTGCTTTGGCAAATGTCGGAAATCCGACTGCCAAAAAAGAGGAAAAAAAAACACACAAAATTTCAACCACAAAGTGCCAGAGCTCATAAGCCCACAAACGGCATAAAAAAGGGGCAAGAAAATAAGCAAGAGGAGGGGCTAAAAAGTGTGCGGATGCTGCTTATTATTCGAGTTAATTAAAGCAAATTTCAAAAGGATTAAATTGCCAGCAGATTTGCTTAGTTTACTTTGCTGCAGGCCTTTGAATGGGGTTAGGACTTTACTAATGGGATAGACCTGGAAAAGAAGGAAAACATTCAAGGGCTAACAGGAATTGACAATTTAAGAAGGGTTGTAGTCCCTGAGCCTTTCAAAATGGAAATCAAAATGACGGAAGCAAATTTCTTCAGCTAAAGCTAGACTTTATTTAATAGAAATTCATTAAGATGCATAACATTTAGGATATTTATGATTCAACTGAGCCTTTTCCTTAGTTTGATTGATTTTATTTATATTTCCTTTGACCAAAGACAGAATTTCTGGGCCAAAAATATTTATTCAACAAGAGTATTCCTCTCTATTTGGCTTTACCACTCGGGTGGCATTTATGCAAAGCCAAAACGAGTACAAACATTCCTATAAAATATTATCAAACATTACCAGAAAAAGTCTCACCCCATTTCCCAAAAACCCCAACTACCATACCATTCCCCTTGGTGCCCAATGATTTATTCATTCGACTGAAGAGCCAAAAGGAAAAACCGAAAAACTAAAATGGCTCCCACATAGTTTTTGGCCCCGATTCCCGCCCTCACACTCTGCACTTTGGTTTTCCGCTTGATGCTGAAATATTTTGCTGCACTAACCATAAATAAAAAAGTGCACAAAAAGGCTAAAGAAAAATGGGGGGGGAAACGGAAATACAAAAACTCGACAACAACGGGCACAAACAATGGAGGGGCGCACACAAACAAATTGAGCAAGAATAACAACGGCTGAAAAAATATTTCCATGCGACAATTGCAAAAGTGTCAAGGTGCAGCCGGCGCCAGCCACAACAAAAATAAAAAATAAGTCATGAAAAATAGATAGATAAAAAAAAGCCTGACAAAACTGGGGCAATAAAGCTTGGTGCCAATTTTTTATAACCCCTCAGCCAGGCATTGCCCACACGAAAATCGAAAGTTGCCCAACTTTCAGTACTAAATTCAGAGAATGAGCGAACATTTTTTATGCCTGGCAAATTTTTAATGCATTTTGTGTGGTGTGTTTGGCTTCCGATAGGGAAATATCAGATATATGGTAGCATTTAGCAGGCAAAGTTGCCTGGGGAGCCACTGTCATTTGGTGGGTTTTGTGTAAGCCTTTAAGCTGCTGCACTGAAAGAAAATCATCAGGGAAAATTAAGTACATAACACATTCAAATTAATTTACTTATTTTAATGATATTTCTATAATTTTTAAGAGTGTATGATAGTACCAAAATACCTTTTGATGTCAAATAGTTTATTATTTATGTAAAAGAAAATTAATAAAAATGTCAGAGAGCTTTATAATTTTATATATTTAACATCCTTTAATTCCTTGCTAGTTTCTTAATTTTATTCTTTATACATTTTGTCCTTAAGCTTTGCTAGTTGAACAAGATTCTAAGGGGATATTATTATATATTAATTAAATAAACTCTTAAAATAATTAAATACCCAAAGTCCTAGTATTTATTCCTGTGCATAATGACGGCAGCTGCTAAAGTTTTTTGCCAGATTTCACTGCTCACTCTGGCAGCAAAAATAAATCAGAAAACTCCACCGGCGCATTTTGGCAATGCATTAAATCAATATCCCACTCACTGTCAATCCGTTTGTTTGTCTGTCTAACTGCCGGCGAAAAGTTCGCCGTGCATAATTGCGAGCGGAACTCTGGCGAAGAATTAATGAACTTCCGAGGGAATGGAGTCGGAGGAAGCCAAGGAATAAATATCATGCACGTCGTGGGAAGTTCCCTTCTTAGTTTCGAATTGATGAGCGAAGGAAAGTTTTGCGTGCTAGCACGATGATTTTCACGCAATCATTTTCCGCACCGCATTTCCCCGCCTCGCCCCGGGAAAGTTGCTCATTAAGGCGCCGATGAGAATTTGCGTAAAATACTCCCCTCACCCACCTATGCAGGATTATTAATAACCGGGGATGGGTGTGTGGGTGTAGGTTCATGTAAATATTTGCACATTTCTCATTAAAGTTTCACGTATATATCACGCATACGCCGCATTGTGCCCAATTAGTTGCAATTTATTCGCTCTTACACAACCCAGGAGCACTCGGCTTAATGATACTTAATGTGTAAATCATTATAATAAATTACATGCACAAGCGATGATAAAAATAATCCAGCGCCAAGAAAAATACAAATAAAGCAACCCAATCCGCATAATGTGTGCGCCGTCATGAAACACACACCCTATACAAATATAAATATATATATATAAAGCGCAGCGCAAACAGAGCCAAGCCGGGATTCAAGAGCGGAGTCCTTATGCACGCATTAGACATAAAGGCCATAGACATTAGTGCGCATAATGAAAAGCGTTTCAGCATTTCAGCATTTCAGTTCCCAGAGTGCGTCACACGAAGCTGAAAATGATAATGATGATGATGTGGGGGCTTAAACCCGAATACACACCAAAGTAACCGCCACATCAAACAGACACAGAAACCGGAAAAAATGTATATATACAAACATTTATATTTATATATATTTAAAGAGAAAACGCTCCACAAGTTATGAAAGCTTTGACTCCTTACCATCCTCAAGCCATCAGCTGTTTGCCAGCTGTTCTGGCTGCCAATGTTTTGGGTAATTTTCAGATAAAACCTCATTGTTCAGAGACAAAACTTCCCTTGAAAATAAAACCCAAAACACGTCTCTCGGATGCTGCGTGCGCATGTCGAGCGCTCGCCGTCTCCATGAGCAAACGATTCGCTCTCGGCGGTTTTATAGCAAAGCTCCAGGACGTTTATCTGAACATGGCCAGCATCCTGTGGACCAGTAGCGGAGTAACTTTGAAGCGTTACGGTTGGTCGCGATTTCGAGTCGGAAACGTGTGGCACACTCTGATGGTCACTCCAGTGTAAGCGCGTCGGTCGCAGTGTGTTTACATTGTTTGCAAACTAATTAAAGTGAGTTTACAGCCGACTTACCAAATCATCATGATTCTGCTCAAGAGCCCGGCTCACTTGAGGCGGTTTTGGGATTAAATTAAATTGGCCAAGTGCTTGCGAAATTCGGAAATTGTATATAAAAGTGTGTATGCCAGCAGCAAGAGTGTCTAAATTAAACTAAATATCCAAATTCCTACGCCTACGAATATAAACAGCCCTTTGGCATACACAAACACCACTGAAATATTTATGGAAAATACGTTTTCAATGCCAAAAGGTTTTAGGAGAGACTTTTTGTTTCATTACCCTTTTCATTGAAGTGTCCAAAATGTGTTTTTCGACGATTTACAGGCAGTTTAAGCTTAAATATAGAAAGCAGAATAATATTTGCAAAAGACTTAAGGCTTCTCTAAGCTCAAAGCCAAAGAGAATTCTTTTATACATTTTCCAGAATTTTTATATTCTTTAGGCAATAAATAAAATCCCGTAGATTAGCTGATTTTGCCTTAATAAAACAAATAATTTCACTAGCATTTTTGAAAATGAAATTGAAACAATAAATAATGGATTCTAGCTAGTTAAACATATCTTTTAACAACTCGATTTTAATTGAACGAAAACCACAAAAATATTTGCCGAGAATTGATCCATTTTAGTACAAAGAATGTCACTATGTCATAGCTTAAAATATCTTGCCGGCTAGAGACAAAAACTGGAGAAGCAGGCACACAAAAATAACAACCTGCTGTGGTTGTATCCCAAAAGATAACATTTTATATCCCTTCAAAAAAAATTCTTTGCAGTGCAAACAGAGTAAAATTCATGAAAAACAAACAAAAAGCGACAAAGTGAAATTAACAAAAAATATAAACACAAAAACGGAAAAGTGCAAACAAGACGCCAAGGCCGAGGTAAAAACTGTGAACCCAAACAAATAATTTGAAATTAAAGCTAACACAAAGAGTCGAATTCGTGGCCGGCGTAGCGGATTGCCGAAGAAGAGAGTTCGGTCGGAGTTTGTACGTGATTTTGTTTTCAAGAACTACATTGAATTATATTTACCGGCAGATGTGCAAGGTCCCCGGCCCTCCCTTTTCCCCAAAGATATTTTCCCCCATCTGGCTTTCAGCACTTGAACTTTACTAAGCTTCTTGTGGGTTCCCCAGCCCCGGTTGGGGTTTTTCCCCTGCTTTTCATTCTCGGTCCTCGTTTTTCTAGCTTAGCCAGGCGCTTCAAGTGGCGCACAAGAGCTTCGATTTTCCAAACTGAAGGTATGGCACTGGATATGTATGCGGTTGCCTGATGTTGTCACCCCACGAGGAGAGGCCTTAAGCGCTTCACTTTACATAGCAAAAACTAGAAGATTGTAGAGATTAAGCCCACACCCACCCATTCGCTATCCCTGACGACCTGCGACCTCCTGGCAAAGCCTCTTTTTTCTACACTTAGGAAAGTGATTTTCAAAAGTTAAAAAAGATATATTTTACAGAAAACATAGCTTAGTAAGTAAGCCCAACATTGGCTGGAATATAAAAGAATTGATGTCAAAAAGAACAATTTAATATTTGGTTTTTATAAAAGATCTATTACGATAAGCTAAAATATTTTTTAAATAATTTTGTAAGATATGTTACAACTATTTCAAAGATAAAATTGTATAGGAAACGTTTTTTTTTATTAAAAAAAATAACAATTTCTTTCACTAAACAAGATATCTCTTTTACAAAGTACATATTTTTTTTCAAAGTGCACTTATCGCACCTTCTTCGCTCTGTGATTTGTATGCGTTCACCGCCTTCAACATGGCCTCAGCTAATGTTGGCTTTGGCTTTGCCCTCAGGGCTACACAAAAGTGGGTGGCGATGGGCGGCAGTGGCCGTAAAAGGGGGTCGAGACAGGGGGCACGGGTACACGCGAGTGCCAAAGTTAACTCCACCGACGGCAGCCGCCATAAGCTCCGTACGTTTCCCACTAAAGGCTCTGCCATGCCGCCCTCTCGTTCACAGCTTTCCCTTTGAGCAAGTAGGTCTGTGCGTTTGCCGGCGTGTTTGTGGCATAAAAATAAAGATAAATGCGAGTTCTTTACAACGCAGCGCCGAACACTTTGAGTTGGGCGCCAGCAGCCTCCCCACGCCCCCGTCTACGAACGCCCCTTCAGACATCCGAGAAGCCAAGCACTGTGGCCAGCGATGTTTGTTCTAGTGCGTGGAAAAGTTAACTAAAGTTTGGTAAATGCGAAAATAAGTTCATTTTGTATGCTCCGTTTTGCTGTAGAAAATATTTGGTTTGCCAAAAATATGTGGAAAGGAGTATTTATGAAAGGAAATAGTTTTAGAATAGACTTGCAAGAGAAATTACATAATTCTTTTAGGGTAGGTAAACCAGAAATTTATCAAAAAATAGATAGAGGATTTAATGAAAAATGAAAGCTAACTTTGGCCAGTCAAAGTTTGTATAACCTTGCAGGTAACAATTAAAATATATCATAACTAAGCCAAAAATGCATTAATTTCGATTCGGAAAGTTTTGTGTTAGTTTTTATTAATTTAAAAAAACTGCATACCAAATTTAAAATTTTAAGAAATGTAAAATTTTTGGTCATTTTTGCTCATTTTAATGATGTAACCCCTTATAAAATTTTGCAAAACTGGCCAAAAAATCGATTTCTTCCTGACATATCTAGAATGATTCCCCTGTTGATGCTGATCAAGAATACATATATATGGTTTATGGGGTCGGAAATGATTAATTGACGTAGAAAAATATTATTTTGTATTATAAAATCGGATTTTTTATATTAAGAAACTTCTTAATTTTTTTAAATTAAAAATATCATAACTCGGCCAAAAGAGCATTAATTTTAAATCGGAAAACTGTTCTGTGCTAGATTTTCTACAGTTTATAAATCTGCATACTTCATTGAAAAATTTTGAAAATTCAATTTTTTATCAAAATCAAAAATTTTAATGATGTAACCCCTTATGAAATTTTGCAAAAATGGCCAAAAAATCGATTTCTTCCTGACATATCTAGAATGATTACCCTGTTGATGCTGATCAAGAATATATATACTTTATAGGGTCGGAAACGTCTTCTTCACTGCGTTGCAAACTTCTGACTGAAATTATAATACCCTGCAAGGGTATAAATATTACTATGTTAAATTTTAAAATTTTAAAAACTTATTTATTTAAAATTCACAGTAATCGTAATTTACTCTCTATAACTATCCAATTTTCAATGGTAACAATGGCAGCCACTCACTGGCAGACTCAACTTTTAAGCAAACGAGGCAATACTTCAAGCGGGCTAACAGGTTTCCCAACATTATTCCCACCACTGTGCCACACGACACACCTTGTTTTAAGGTCCTGTTTGGCAAGTGTTTGGGTCAAAGGGGGGGCTGCTGTGGGGTGCTTTTTAAGGGGGGTAGCTCTGTGGCTGGTATCAAAAAAGCGTCACCGGCAGCCCAAAACTTGTGGATGGAGTTGGTCTAGGAGCCAAGGGGAGTGGAGCGAAGTGGTTTTGCGGTTGCGAGTTTTAGATTTCTTCTTCTTTTAGCCTTTTTCCTTGGGTATGTTTGTGTGTGTGTTACCCCAAAAATGCGACCAAAGGAGAGCAAAAAAAAAAAAAAAAGAGGCACACACATTTCTAAACATACAGAGTGGGATATAAAAAAAAAGGAAATGAAGGAGGAAAGTTGCTTTGCATAGAGCGAAAAATGTTTTTCGCTATGTTTATCTGCAGCGGCCCATCTCTGGTGTAAATGCCACGCCTCCCAAGGCCCCAGCCGCCCCTCTTTTGATATTAGCGCTTGTTTATGGGTCCCAGTATGTATATGTATGTGTGTGTGTGTGTGTGTGTGTGTAGGGCATGCTTCGTCGCATTTTAAATTAAGCTTCATTTTTATTTCTATTTACATTTTGCTCTTTCGCTTCTTCCTCCCCCCGCCTGCTGCTCCTCTCGGCTGCAACTGTTTGCCCAAGGAGGAGCTGCAAAGTTTTTCCAGACGTAGAGGGCCACGCCCCCTGCTCACATTTTTTATTTGTTTTTCATTTTCACTTTTATTATTCCAGCATTTATACAATATTTTTGTTGATGCTTTGTTGTTGCCTTTATTTATTTTGTGCGGCGCCAAGTGAAATGTTTGATTTATTTTTTATTTGCCATTGAACGTGTTTATTTATGTGTTGTGCCTTCGCATTTTATACCCGGTATTTAAGGATTAAAAGGGTATATTATTTTCAAGGAAATGTGTAAAGATTTTCAGGTAGTAAATTTTATTTGACAAAAAGGCCATGAAAATTTTTAAATGATCTTATTTTTTAAATTGCTATAAAGGTTCCAGAATTTGGAAATTAATATGATATTTGGTTGTTTTTTATTTCCACCCAAATATCTAATTCCTCTATGACAAGAATTAACTTTTCTTGACAGCCAAAAAGTAGGCAACACTTTTAACAAACTGAGAAGAGAGTATTCTATGGTCGACAAACTTCACTGGTTATTTTCTGTCTGGTTTTTCTTCTACTTTTTTTTGCTACTTCGCTCTTTTACAGGCTTACTCCATTTCAGCGCTATTTTCGGCTTTTTATTTATTTCCCCGCTGCTCTCCACGTTTTATTTGCCGTTTTCATATGCCTGTTATTGTAAGCTGCAGTAAATTGGAAAATTTTTAAGTGTTTTTTATTCTTTTTTATTCTTATTTTTTTCCGTAAGCAGGAGTAAGATTTGTTTCATTCTGGGAATTAGCTTTGTGAGCATGATTTATGACAGGAAACCGCCTGAGGGAGGTTGAATGTTGATCTCATCCTGGATTACAGAAATGAGTTTTTCTATTTGAATATATAATTTTGGTGGGCGGGTATTTGGCTGATTTGGATAAGCTTTTCTTTTTATCAAAAAAGCAGCCAGCTTTATGAGATTTATATAATTAAAGTAATTGGCTTCGAAATTCCCAAAAATTATTTAAATGTGGTTTAATCCCTCTAATGGTTTTAGTTATTGATCGAAATAAAATGATTATTGGAGTGCAAACTAGTCAATTATTTAAATTTATAATATTTTTGTGAGGGAAAATGTTGTCAAAGAGAATATTTAATTAAATGCTAATTTTAGAGTCTACAAAATTAGGTTAAAGGCTGACTATTTCACTAATAAATAAAATAATTTGTGATATTCAAAGCAAAATAATTAAATTTGTATGGAAAAAAAGGAAAGCAAATTATTTTCCATAATCAATTATATATCTATTTCTTTTTTAGAATATTCACCTACATACAATTATTAAAAACAAACATTTCCCAAAGGTGAACAATCTTTTGATAAACTTTCCCCATTTTCTTAATTTCACAAATACTCAAAGTAAATTTTGTTGCTTTTGAAAACAACTTAATTAAATGAAACGAAAGGCTAAGCATCCACTTCTAATTGAAGCATTCTCTTTCAAAGAGGAGCATTCGCTGGTCAGCAAAAAAATGAACATAAATTCATTTCTCGTTTTGATATGGCCAAAGAGGAAATATGAAAATTTCCCCCACTTATCCTTCTTACAGTTTTTTCTTCCGATTTGTATTTTTTTTTTTATTTTTGGGAGAGTGTGTGTGTGCAGCTCCACCGCAAAAAGTTGATGGAAAAAAACCGGGAAATCGGGTGAGGGAGACGTGAAAAGTTGGGCTCAGTTATCGAGGCTTACCACTGAGTTGACTTTAAGGAGACTTTAAAAAATATATAAAAGGGGGCCCCGAAGAGCCGGAACTAAGCGGATTTTGATTTGTTTTTCCTGCTGCTCTTTGCAGCCAAACAAAGAAATGTGCTTAAGTTGTTTGTGCCGGCAAATTCCCTGATGCTCTTAACTTTTCCACAGTCACTGAATGCTCGGGCCTAAAAGCGGAATTGACATTCGTCAGCGGGGTTTTAAAGTTTTCTCTACCTGACAGACAGACAGACAGCCGGACCGCAGAGCATAAATATACTTTTTCAATATGGCCCCAGCCGCAGCGTCAAATTGGATGAGTTTTAATTAATTTCGTCATTACAATAATTAATTGAATGCCTGCTGGGAGAGGCTCAAGGACATGTTTGCCCAAGTGGCGCCGGCTGCGCAGCTGCAACAAATTGCAATATATTTTACAGCTACTTAGTCGGCATTACACATGCACTGCAGGAGCCAACTTTTCGACGCCACTGTGTGCGAATAGGGTTTGATTTATGGCCAGCCATCGGGGCCCGTAAATAAGCGAAACCGAAACCAGAATGGGATCAAATGCGTGTGCAGTCCTTGGGGCGGTATGGGGCCAAATTAATGATTTTCCATCGTACTTTGTGTACTTTCAATGCAATATTTAATGCTGGGATAACTATGTAAACAAAATATATTAGTTTGGATTTTCTTGTATTTACAAAATGGGGTTTTATTACAAAATGTTGGAGTTGCTATGCTTTCCATTAATATCTAAATACACCCTAACTAAATGTATCCAAATACACCTATTTAAACCCATTTGAAATTACCTTAAATTAAGGAACATTATATGGATTTCCCCCACTTGACTGAGCTCCTCTAATCTGCATTTACTCTGGCAAAATTAGTTCCAGCAGCAGTTTAACTTCAGCTGCCATACGGCCAAAGCCATATTCAAACAGAATATCTGAGATGACTTATCTCATACGGATTGGCCATATGAAACCATTTCGCAGAGCGAACTCAAACTGGTTTAATCTGGGAAAATACGCCTATAAATAGCTCAAGGAACCGCCCAACCCAAACCTCTGCTCTTCTCTGCGCCACGCCACTGTCTCTGCTTGCTTCAGGATTATGGCTTTTCCTGATAAATCTGTCGCACATAAAGTACCACAACGAACGACTGTTGAACTAGATTCAACATTCATGCCCTTCTACACATGAGGATCTTACACTTAAAAGAAATATTGCAATTTGATTCAATTGAAAACATGTTTTTTTTGATAACTCGTGTGGGGGTTGAGGTAGAGAATATTTAGGGAACCTAATTATAGAGATTCTGCATTTTTAATGGACTCATATACTTTTTTGTGATTTTACGAATGAGAAAATTATTTTTCTTTTCAAAATTTTCCCCCTGTGCACCCGAGTAATTCATGGGGCGACTCTGCGTCTTCAACTGGGTTGGCAAACTACAGAGATAAGCGTGCGAAGGGAGGACGCAATACCCGAAGTACAGAGCCAGTCATGAATGTATGACCAGTCCGAGTCTCATCCCAGTGGCAGCACCACTCGACTCGACTCGGCTCAATGGGTGTCCCGTCCAGTCCACTGGACGCAATCAACTGTGAGTTGTCAGCTGCCAAAAGCAGTGGTCGAGAGTTACTTGGCCCGGGCCCGGAAGGGGGGATCGGGCATTAGTGGGTTAGGCGCGGTGCCCCCTTGCAATTCCCAGCTGAATTCGGGCTCCAGTGCCCCTTGAAATGCTTTGTCAATTATATAATCTCATTCTTCTTTTTATGGGGCCATCGAATTCAATTGCATGTAAAAGTTATTGTCGCCCTCTGTCATTTATTCAATTTGCCAAATGAATTATGAATGACTTGACCCGGATAAAATGCGAAATTGAAATGATTCGATTAGCCAGAAGCCCTTGTCCCCGCTTTGCATGTACCATGCCATTTTCAGCTCGTAAATATTTCGACCCGACCATGCGAATATGTCTAAAGTGTCGAGTGCACAAATTTGTTGCATACTTTTGGCCGAGCTCATTGAGCGAAAAATTCTATTGGAGAGGGCCAGAAATTCGCAGTTCCAGTGAATTTACCAGTTTATTGTTTTGGGCGGGGCAGGAGGGAAAGCTTGGAAATGCGTTCGGAATTTCCGCAGAAATATTTGTTGAGTGTGTGGGGCCCGACAATGTATGGATTTTAATTAATATGTTTGCAGCTATTTGGACCCGCTTGAATTATAAATTCTATTTGTACCATCAGATTTGCAATTGACAAACAAACGCTGCAAAGCGAAACCCTGCAAAATAAATAAATACGTATATATGCAAATATATTCGACAGTAGAGCCAAACATCAGAAAGTCAAAAGGCAATGGATTAATACATAAAATATAGCATGCATTTTTTCGGTATCCTGGGGCATAGCGCTTTAAAGATTTTTACCAAAATGTTTGATTTACTAGAAATCATTGATATTTTAGCATTTGAAACATAGGAAAAGGATTACGATTTCACTTGCTTCCTTTACCATAAACCATATATTTTTGGACGTTAAATCTCGACTATTTTGTGGTCATGACATTCAAATGGATTACATATTTCAGAATGTTTGGTATGCCAACAAAAACCATGAAAACCAAATATACAAGAACTAATACAATTTATTTCTCTGTTTCTTTTTCAGATTTGTAATCGCCATGTGCCAAAGCCCAACCAAATAGCGAATATTTATCAAAAATAACCATAGAAAAAGAAAAAACACCCATAGCGGATTTCTGGAGTGAGGAAAAATCAACGCCGCTGGGCCCCGAAGGGAAATTTTAAGCAAACAAAATGTGGAAAATCTGCATTTTTACATTGGTAATTGCGGTGGTTGTTGCAACAACTCTGCCGGCAACACCAACAACAACACCAGCAACAGCAGCAACAACAGCACTTCCTGGGAAAACCATAACAAATGACTCGGGCCACGCCTCTTTGGAGGCCACTAGCAGCCGTTCCCCGGCAGAAAACCGAACGCTGTTGAAAATATCCAGTGAAACGGTCGAAATTTCAACTGTGGGCGGTTCAACCTCAACGGCCACGCCCACCACGACGGCCACAACCAGTACAACAACAACGCAGGCAACAACAGCAGAAACGGGAGCGGTGGTGCTGCCGGAAAATGAGGAAACACGAAAAGCCAAGCTAATAACAACCGCCCAAAAAATGCCTTTAGTCGGTTTGGGTGAGCTGAGCGGCATCAAGGATGCACTGCATCGCATTAAATTGAGCGAGAAGCCACTGGAGGCAACAACGGATTCACCAGCAACATCAACATCAACGACCATAGCCACTGAACAACCGGAAGCCGAGGATCAGGACGATGCCGACGAGGAGGATATGGCCCCCACGATTTCCCCCCTGCAAATTCAAATGCAGGCAGCTGCCTCATATCAAGTAGCCGAGACGTTGGCCGACCTAAATGAGGAGGAAAGGGCGCGATACGATGCCATGCTGGCGCAACAGCCCACGGCTAGCAAGCTAAATATTGTGGATCTATATCCACTTAAAATCGATGATTTCCAGCCCATTATTCAGAACGATAATGAAGAGCTGATCAAGCAGCGCACGGTTTTCACGCAGCCGGAAAATACGGAGGAATACAAACAGAACCTGATGCCCAACGAGGTGGAGCTGATAATCAACAAGGAGGGAGGAGTTGGTGATAATCAGGAGAAAATCAAAATTAACATAGCCAAGGTGGAGGAAAACACACCCAGCACAACGACGATAGTAAGGACCACGACTAGCAACTCGAATCAAGGAACCACGGCTGATTTTACGGGAAAACTGCTGGCCGATCAAGACGATCTGATCACGGAGATCGAGAGCAAGTTCCAGCTGCACGAAACAACAACGGCAAAGCCCAAAGTTGCCATAAAACTCCGCCCCGGAGATACTTTCATCGATCGGCGGGTGAAGAAGAGCTTCGAATTCCCGATGCAACACCGGGCCAGCGATGTAATGGCCATGCCACATATAGACTTTGCAAACACCAAGTTCCAAACCGATGCCGATGCCCCCAATCCGCCGGCCACGCATCCAGAATTTTCCACCACAAAGTTCTACAACAGCAAGGAGCTGTACAACGAAATGCTGCTGCATAATAAGCGCAAGTTAATGAAGGAAACCAAGCATGCTAAGGCCGCTAAGGATGCTAGGGCTGAAGGCAGTCCGATAAAGTCAGCGGAGGATACAACTCAGGCCGCCAACTTGAACGTGACTCCGGAAGGGAAAACTTTTTCGCCGACAGCAACAACAGCATCACCAACTGGAACTGCCAGCACAACAACACTGAAATCACCAACAGCAAAAACAACAATAACAACAACAGCAGCCTCAGTTGAGTCAACAACAAGGACGACTGACAGTCCAGAAACTACGGCAACTACGGCAGCCGCTGGAAAATATCAGAAAGAGCTTAAGCGTGCCAAATTATTGCTCAAGGCCCTGACACCGCCCAAGTCCGACAAACTGGCAGTTGTCTCGGCCAAAGTTAAAGCCGCAAAAGTAGGGGAAGAGCCAACCGCCGGGGAATCCCCATCATTGACTTCAACATCGACATCGACATCGGCATCGGCATCGGCAGTACCTTCGACCACGACCATGACCAGTCCCATGCTTTTGGCCACCGCAAGGACGCGTCCACAAGCGGCTAATCCCACTAAGACAGCCTCAAAGCCAATTGCCAGGCCGCGCATTTTGAGTCGCCTGCAGGAGAAAATCAATTCACTTGAATGCGAGATCCCCACGGTCCCGCAGGACTCGCATCTGTGGCGCGGCAATGAGACCCACGAATTGCTGTTGCCCATTGTGGTGAGTGCACTTGCAAAAACATTTCTTTAGAACTGTTATTTTATGCTTCTCTTTTCCTTTGAGTTACTTTTATTTGTTCTTCAACAAGCTACCAAGTATTTTTCTCAGTGAATTCCGCTTAGGGATTTGCCGTGCCCACTGTTATCAAAACAATTGAAGGCCTTATTAAGTTCTTATCATTAGACAGGCAAAGGAGCACACAGGAAGCAGAGAAAGGAAGAAAAGACAGCTTAGTGAATGGACCGGGGAACACACGGCGTATGCGTGTTATTTGAGTAAGCGGGTTAAGCAATTAGCTGGCGGTTAAGAGAATGGGAAATGAAAGTGGAACATGGAGGCGGGATTTCGCAAAAGTGGGCGACTGACTAACGGACTACATTTACATAATATGCCTGCTGACGGCTAATTAGTATGGAGGAAGCTTAGTTTTTGGGTTCTCCGAAGCCAAGGATTTAGCCAGAAAGGAAACGGGAATCCCTAATGAAGCTGCTAAAGTTCTTCCAAGCGAAGGCGAATAAAGAAAAGATTGATTAGGGATTGAGTTCACATAGGAATCATTTACACGGGCTGGAGCGGGAAAAGGGCAAGCACAAGAAAATGTCTAAGGGAAAGGGAAAGCAACCCAAACATTCTTCAACTTTGTCAACCGACATTGTCGACATTCGATATCCAATTTCCCTTCGAACAACAGAAACTTGTTAAAACTGTTTGCTCGGCTAATTGAAAACCTTTTAGAGCTGAGACAATTTTGCAACCGAAAGAAATCAATGATGGCAGCCAACAGCCACATAAATAAATAACAATCGCATTTGGAGTTAACATGGACAGGGACAGTCGAATAGACAAGAAAAGGACAACGGGTTTGGAAAAGGATTCCCCGGAAAAGGGGCCCTGCAAATTTAATCCCCCGATAAGTTGGCCAACAAAGGGAAATTATTGATCGTCGTTTTATTTGGCCATTTCCGAGGTAGCAGCATAGCATGTGTGTGTATGTGAGGGGGGATTGAGGACTCAAAACAAGTTGACCGGAAAGATGAAGGTTTCTAGTCCTAGTCCTTATGCAAAAAAGGACAAAATCCTGGGGGTGGCTTAACAAACAGTCCGGTTCAAATGTTTATGGTTCATATGTCAGGTGAAAATGACTTATAGGAAATTTATTAAATATTTAAATGAGACTTTTACCAAGAAAATCACATTTTACATTTGTATTTTGATATGTATTTTATAATTAATACATTTTTTTTGTTATTTCATCTCAAAGTATTACCTTTCAACGGTCACTTCATTTTGAAACGCACTGTTTGCTGAGCCAAGAAAAGGGTTATCCATTTCTTTATTAAATCGCATTTGTTGTTAAATCACGAATAAACTAGACAAGGGACCACAGCCGGAGCTCATCTGGCAATTTCTGGTCCGGGTCCCCGATCCCCGAGTTTCGAGTCAGGTCCGCTCATATCCCTTTCATGTCCTGTTTATATTGACGTAAATCAAGCCATTTGCCTGGCCAAATCACAGCTGCTACTGGTGCTGCTTCTGCTGCTGCAGCCCCTTGGCAAATATTTAAATTCATTTGATGGAAAATGTTCACCCTTTTCATCGGCTGCCGTTATGCGAGTGTGCTTCGTAGTAGAAAACCTTTGACTAACTGACTGAGGACCGAATGTTTAATTAACATCTGGCCAGGCTGTCTATTCAAACAGCTTTCTGTGTGTTTCCAACCGAAATGCCATTAAATTTGATGGCCATTTGAAGGCTGCCTTCGCCGAGATTCCGTTTCTTTTGTTAATAAGAAAAATGGAGCAGCAATAGGGGCGCAAAGGAGGCGAAATTGATTTCCTGCTTACCTTTTGGTCAGCAAATTCCAAATGGCAACTCGGGCGTGAATTTAATTACGAAGCACTGCAGCCTTATGCAAACCCAGGTCCATCTGAAAAGGAAAATACATTATAGTATACATTAAGCATTGGCATAAAGTGTACCTTGCATAAAATTAATGCTGACTTCTCTGGCCACTTGGAGGTCCTTTTGGACATTGCCCAGGTCCTGGTGAGCAAAAAAAGAAAACAATTAAAGAAAACAATTTTTGCATAAAAGGTGAAAACATTTCTTCAATGTTTTTTTTTTTCTGTTTATTTTTCTGTGAAGGAGCAGGAGGTCACGAAAAACATTTCTCAACTGAATTTGTTTATTCTGCTGTTTGTTGTTTTGGGTCTCGTTTTGATGGAATTGTTTCTCTCTCGTTTCTCTCTTCCTTTTTGTCCTTTTTATTTTTTGCGCACTTTGGCAACATTTCAAGCCATTTAAGTGTAGTTGAAATTTTTTAGTTTATAACTTTTCAGAGAGCTTAAATTAGCTTAGCTTTTACCAAGTTGCACTTAAATGGCACTCTAAAAGATTAATTATGGACAGTCCAGGATTTATTATTATTGTATTTTATTTTTTTACTTCAAAGTTGAGGGATACAAAATAATTAAATTATTTAAAATGTGTGGTAAAATATTTACATATTTAAGCTGCTTAAATTTTAGAATCAATGCAATAATTCGTACTACAATGGTTGTTTTTATTACCAATACATATTTCTTTATTTATATGTATAAAAAATAACATATTCAACAAAGCCGCAATATTATTTTAAGCGCCAAATTCATGGCATAATGAAAAATGCCATTCTATTTTAATGACCGACATGAATTCCCCTATATTTGTGGTTTTAATTTCAACAAATTGCTTGTTTCCAAATATCCCTGCCCCCGGACAACGGACTGAAACTTAAACAACAAACAGAAATTTGCTAAATATGTGCCACAAATAAAAAAGGGAAATTTATGCCATTACCTATTGCGGTGTTCATAAAAAAAAGCAGACCACAAAACACGCATGTGACCCAAAAACTTGGCCATTTCCCAGCGGGTCGTTCTCCCCATTCTGTATGTAAATATTCAGGGTTCCTGCTTTTTTTTTTGCAAAGCTGACCAGCATACAATGTAGATTTTTATGTGCGTACAGACAGGCCATTAAAATGCCATAAATTTGAGCTCTGACAAATCCCCTCCGACAGTACGGCATAAAAAAGCGGGAGAGGCAAACTAAACCGCTTCAAATTGCACAAAAATATGCTAAAATTGCTGGACATAGGAGAGGTCCTGGAAATGGAGCGCATAAAATAGCAGGGATAACCGCAAAGTCGAGTTTCGGCTCGGCCTTGTGTATTTTTATTTGTATTCCGATTGCGACGTCCATAACAGGCGGCTTATGTCTGTGGCTTAGCCCAAATTAATAAAAATTTGGCAACATCAAGTGGATCTGCGCATATGTTGTAAACTTTGCTAATATCCACCCGCAGGCAGCCCCAAATGAACCTTTTAGCTGGAAGTTTATTAGGTTCGGGTTACGTTGGCTCACTACTTATGTAAATTTGTTTCTGCCACAAAACTACAGCGGCCTAAAAGGGCCCGCCCCGGGCCCATCTCGACGGTAGACAATGTTGTAAAAGTGAAATTAGAAAACTTGCTAAATAATTTAGTTTGGATGTCGGTCGGAAAACCTTTTAGGCCTCTCATACTCTCATTTTGCGTTGAGTTGCCTCACATATCTAATCCCAAAAAACCTTAACCTACTCTTCCCCAGACCACGGAGCACTGTAAGCCGAACGAGAACTGCATACCGAATGTCCTCACCTGGCGAGGCGAGGCGGAGATCCAATCCGGCGACATCCTGATTGTGGAAATCAATGATGCCATGCTAAATCCATCGCACGAGCCCAACAACACCAGCAGGTAAATAACAAAAAGTTGTTCATTAAATGGAATAAAATGAATTAAATTTCAAACAATGGCAATAAACACTGAAACAGAATATCTCTGCGTCAATATATTTATTTGTCGTTCTATATTAATGAAAATGCCAACAAAGTTTGAAACAATTTATAATGCAAATGTGCAGACGGGGCTAAAATTGTGTATTAATTCTGGTTGAAACTAACGAAACTATTCAAGTTCTAAAAAGGATTTTGCTGTAAATATAAACACATTATCAAAGCAAAATAAATTTTATTATTTATAAAAGTTAATTAAATTAAATATAGGCACAATTTCCCTTACAAGTCTGAACTTTTATGTCACTTAAATATAACTGCCTCGCAAATAAAATTCATTTTAAAATTACAGCCATAGTCTGCCATTGATCCATTGGCTAGGAAAACACAGTCCCGATTGCCTATCAAGTCGTTGGGGTGCTTGGAACTCCATTTCAAAAACGTTGCTCGCCTGTTTGTGGTGGCTGACATGTACTCCCCCTCATTAGCCAGATCATTAATGTCCAGCCAGTAACCTTTGCCCTCTTGGAGTTTCCGTGTGATCAGCGATAGTTCCATTTCGTTCTGAATGCTCGCCAGGTGACCGCCCATTCGCACACAGGAGCTGCCAGCAGTGTGCCAAGTCTCAGTGTTATCCGATTCTATGTAGAAGAATTTGGAACCAATCTGCTCGAATTTCGATGAATTTGCCGACTTATTTAGAGCCATCTTCTCCATAAAAATCTCAATTCTGGCCAGCTTTTGTAACAGGGTTTCCAGCTGCCTTTCCACTTTATTCTGTCCCGTTCTCAAAACCTGCAGTTGTCCTTCAATATTCTCCAGTTTCGTTTGACTTCCTGGAGACTGCCAGCGAACCAGCAATTGTTGCATAAAACAAAAGAATCGCGCACTTTGTCATTCTGATTTACGTAGAAGAAACACTTTGAAGGCTATTGTGCAACTGATTTCTTATGGTTCTGTGGGAGAGGTATTTATAGATTTATAGATTTATTATCAATTTCCACCACCAATGAATCGAAATTATATATAACTTTGTGTCTGAGACCAGATTTATTTGGAAGCAGCAACTGAGCTTATCAGCAAGCAAGTAATACATTTCTTAATGAAGCAAAAATAACCTTCAAGTTAATTGTCTTCTTTGGGCTTGAGAAGACTTAGTTTTTCCTTTAGAAGTTTCAGCTGATTTTCCACACTTTCCAATCTCATCTGGGTTTCGTTTAGCTTGATGGAGTCCCACTTGTTCCATCTGTTTTAATTAGCATTCATATTCTCCAGTAGGGGCTTCAAGACATTCAGACAGTAATTATTGCACTGCCCATGAGATTCTGATTTCGTTTCATAAATACTAGAGGCAATTATGGCACAAAATAAAATTAAGGCTAGCTTGAACATTTTTATTTAAGATTTAAATCTAAACGCTTTAAGACAGAGATGTGGTTACGTTGAAGTCTGTTAGGCAACTGACTTATTGTGAGATCTCTACAAAAATTGTTTAGCTTATAAATTATATTTAGCTTAAGTGAATAATGCATATATACTTTATGATTTTCAGCAAAGTAAGTGATAAAATGAAATGTCTCAGGGTAATTCCTAGAATTCATAAAAATAGCATCTGGTTTTATCTGGTTTTAAAATTGTTTTAATACTATCAAGATCCGGCTGGCTTGAAATACTTATCAGTATTGTTGTATGACTAATTTAGTATATATTTTTTTGTATTCTTTGTTGTACATAAACTGTAATACTCTTATCAGCAAATGCTTCTATACAAAGTGTAGTCTTTCATGTACAAACTTAAGCTTTTGACATATACCCATTCCCTTTTAAAGAACAATATTAAAGATATGTCTGTACTTCATTTTTCCTATCCCGATAAAAACTTAAATGCTGAAAAAGAGTTTCAATTTATTGTAGATAATCGCTGCGATTACAAAATCCCCAAAGAACAGTTTCCCTTGTTGTCAGCCTCAATGGTTGGAAGTGCCAGCTAAGCGAAGCCAACCGATACCTGTCGACTGGCGGTGATGTATGTAGTTGATCAAAGCAAGTGACTTGGCGACGCAGGACACACAGTCATTATGTGCCGCCCATCAGCAGCATCATCAGCATTCCCATCCACATCAACACTTCCCGGCAGCCACTGGCAGCCCCTGCTGCTGCCTCATCATTGAGCTCATCATGGAGCGACCCTTTCGCTGTTGCAGCCCCTTAACTTTGGCAGCAGCCCCAGACACCTGAGCTTACTAGAAGCAGGGGGTTTTGGGGGTATTGTGCACATCTCACCCTTTTGATAAAAAAAAAATAAAAATAAAATCACTCCCCTATTTTTACACCTAGTTGGCAGGTGTGGGTGGCGTTGGTTGAGTTCCTATTTTTTTATATTTATTTATTTTCAGTTAAGCGCTTTAATGCGCAGTGAAACGTGTTTGTTCGGGGGCTTATTATATAATAACGTCCATTAAGGACCTTTATTGATTTTTCTTCAGCACGTCTGGCCGTAGAGCAGAGATATAGATAAACAGTGAGAAAGAGATACAGAGTAGGGCTGGTGCTGGAGGTGGAGACGAAGGCGGGAATAGTTACTGGTCCCAGACACGTTCTGGCATTATCATGCCCCTTTTACAGTTTATTAAATTGTTTTCTCCAACGCTCCACACGCTCTATCTAACTCTCCTTTCTGGGCCGTCGCTGTATTTCTTTTCGCAAATTTTTATTTCGGTTTTGTTTATTTTATAATGCCGGACAAAAATCCCCATTACAAACTGTGCATATAAATGCGATAGCAGACAGTTTTTTCCACACGGAAAATATTTGTTCAAGCTGTATTTTGTTATAAATAAATAAATATTAATTGTACAGGGGTTAACTTTAGACGATTTTTATGAAATGATTTTGGAATCATACAAATTTTATAAAAAGTTTAAAAATGTAGAAGTATTTTTGGGTTTTAGTATAAAAAAGTTACTCGCAGACTGGCAATTTCTGTGATATTTTCCCTGTGTAGTGCTGGTTGTTGACCATTAGTCATTGGGCAGGACGTACAAACACCACAGTTGGCTGACCCTTTTTGCCATGGCAATTATCACGTTTCTCTTGGTTTTTGCTATCATTTTTGCCCTCAACATTTTCACCCTCTGCCCAGCCTCTGCACACACATTTTTTGCTCTTTTTAATTTAGCTCCGTGGCTGGTTCTTATCTTATCGCTTGATAGATGCTGCCGCCGACGCCGCCGCCACCCATCAAAAAAGTTTTTTCGCCCCGAAAAAAGAAGCGCAAGAAAAATTAAAATTCATTTGTCGAACTTTGGGGCCAGACATCAAACGCGACCGCGCTGGAAATTTTCCGGTTCTCGCTATATATACAGATATATACATATATACTTTCCTTATTCAGCCCGAGGGCCTCGCAACTTGAAATGCCTGGCATAAGTTTCGATTCCTGTAAGTTTCCCTGGGGGCAAAATAAGACCGCAAACAATCGAGTTAGTTGGAGGAGTGAAAGTGAGGCGAAAAAGTGTAGCATACAATTGAGCGTTGGGCCGCAGAGAAAAGTTCCCGCCAACTATGAAAATGAGATGTCAAAAAAGTTTTTATTATCGATTTAATATGTGTGTGTATGTGCGTGTGTGTGTGTGTGTGTATGTGTTGGCCAAGTTAACAAATGCAATAGCAACAAATAATAATGCTAGGGCGAAGCCAAGCCAAGGCAAGGCAAGTGGGTAGCAAATAGATTGGCAGAGCTCGAGGTAGTGCAAAACTTTTCTGGCTCGCAGTTTTCTAACAAGTTTTTCCTCTTTTTTTTTGCACTTCCCTAAGTTGACTACGTGTTGTTGAAAAATTGTAAACTTGGTTACTATATGAGGTGTCTTCCTCTGTTTGTGTCTCTGAAAGAAATCGTGAGAGTTTCTGCTAAGAACTACAGTGTTCTCTTTTGACTTTAAAAGAATAGAGAACGAGGTTTCCACTTACATGTTTTCTATTTTGTTTTACAATACAACATAACCTAATGGATTTTCCTTGGCTTATTAGAATCTCTTTACCAAATCAGAACCCCAATTTATACAGTGTTAATTTGCGGCAATTTAAACTCTATTAATAAATACCCATACGGTGTAGGCTGCCACAAAAAGTAACCGCAACGAAGGCCTGGCAACACTGGGGTATATCCAGCCCGAGAAATAACCCTTTTTTCCACGCCCAGGCTCCCTGCCTCTACTAATTTCATTTCCGTTTTTGTGCTATTTAATTTCCGCTAGAGCAAGGCGAGCGAGAGAGCAACTGCTTATAAATAAATTTCAATTAATTAAGCATACAGATACATACCCAGACAGCAGAAAACCAACGGAAAATGGCGCCGAGAGCAAGTTTCTTTTGACGTCTTTGGTCATATTTATAACTTAAATAAGCAAACAGAAGCCATTTAACTTGGCCGCCGCCTATCAGCCTCACATTACGCCAGACACTGTGAGAAAACGCCACTAGAAAATGATTTTAAACTGGGGAAAATATGAAAATTTAAGATATGTTTTGTTAGATTATATGCTAAATATTATTTAAGTAAAGAAATTTGAGAAATATTAATGCTAATTATTCTCTCTGTCCTTATTTTTTCGTCCGCTTTATTCTCACTTGGATGCTGGCACAATAAACGTCAACGAGCAGCGCGGTACACGCCACACAGGTGTATCAGGTAACTCGCTCCGGCCACGAGCATTGCGACGTTACCGAGGGCGTCCTGCTGGATATCACGCCGCTGGTGGTCGATGGCAGGAAACTGGTTACCCTGTACGACAAGGACCTCACCGAGGGAGTTAACTTGCTAATTGGTGAGTAGACTCGACCCGGCACTCTTGCCGCTCCTCGGCAGTACTAACTTTGCGGTGAAGGTGGTTTCTGAGCAGGCAAATTGGCTTTTCAAGACTACTTTGTAGCGATGAAGAGCTGCTTTAATTAGTTAACTTTATTTCCTGAAATTTGTAAGTTAGGATGCATTAAGAAGAACCCTAACACCTATACGCAAAAAATTTTAGAAAAACACATTCTTAAAATAATAAATAATATAAATCTTGGCAGTTTATCAAGTATTTTTATTTGTTTTTTGTAAATCGTTACTTTCACTTTTCCCTTAAGACCTTTTCCCAGGAAAGAGCATCTGTTTAGATACCAAAATGTTCCCTCAGCAGCTATCAACACCTGCTGATGGGATTACCAATGGCTCTCTCCACCTTCGCCGCCGCGTTAGGGTATTCCATCTTCATCTTTCCCAGAGGCATCTCGCATCTCTTGTCATTGGACACCGCCTTTGGGGAGTCATTTTTTTCTTTCCCTATTTGTGGTTCCCGTTCGGCCTATTAAGTACTTTTTTTCGCTCCCTTGCCTGCCAGCCTTCATGTAGCCTTAATTAATACGAACCCCTGTTTTATCCCTATCCCCTTTTGTGGACTTCTCTGTGCCGCAGTGGTGTCCGAGCTGTGGGGAGCACAGTGTGTGCGACTGAAGGTGACCACAAAAACCGACAACTGCGGCGAGAACGCCGATTGTTCCGGCAAGGGAGTCTGCTACTCGGACTCCGGGATGGAGGAGTACGAGTGCCAGTGCTGTAGCGGATTTGCTGGTCCGCACTGCGAGGAGATCGATGCGTGCAACCCGAGTCCTTGCACTAACAACGGCATCTGCGTGGACCTCTCGCAGGGCCACGAGGGCAACTCCTACCAGTGCCTGTGTCCGTACGGTAAGGTCATTAGCTTTCAGCCTCATTAGTAGAGGCTGCCACCGATAATATGCCATTAATATGCCTTGTATTCCATCTCTATTCCTGCAGGATATGCGGGCAAGAACTGTCAATACGAGTCGGATCCCTGCAATCCCGCCGAGTGCATGAACGGCGGCAGCTGTGTGGGCAACTCCACGCACTTTCGGTGAGTCGTAGGCAAATAACAGAGGAGACAAGGCACAAAGAAGGAGCAAGGGAATTAGATGGAGCAGGCTTGCAGACTGAGAAATATAATAATATAAGGGATAAAAGCAGAAACATTTAATTCAAACTTTTTCCGTGAATTTTAAAGACTAATTTAAAATTATTTTCCAACTATTTGTACCCTGTTTATGCCCTACTCCATTTATAGTATACAGTATACAAACACAGCATCATCCTTTGCTGAGTTTCTAAAATGTAGGAAAACAAATTTTTTTCAAGTGCAGAGTACACATTTACTGGTTACCCCAGAGAGCAGGAGCTGCGGTAGTAGCAGCTTTCATTCAATTATCGTGACCATTGTTTTGCGGTTCTGTCTAGCCGTCGCCGTCTGTGTTTGCTCATAAATGTTGACTTTTGTCGCATGTTCAAAAATTCTCCATTTCTCTTTTTTTTCCTCTTTTTTTCCGCCATCTCCCTGCCGTATTAACCCGCTGTTGCCCCGCCGCTTTGCAGCTGCGATTGTACGCCCGGCTTCACAGGACCTCTCTGCCAGCACAGCCTGAACGAGTGCGAGTCCTCGCCGTGTATTCACGGCATCTGCGTGGACCAGGAGGACGGCTTCCGTTGCTTCTGCCAGCCAGGTGAGTAAATGTGGCAACAGTTCCAGCCAAATAAACGCAAATTGCCAGCGTTCTTTTGTTGACTCGCTGGCAAAATCGCTCCCATAATGCCAATATTTTGTGAGTTATCATCGTGGAAATTTCACACAACGATTGTTGGCTGTGCTGGGCTCTATTATATATTGGGTTTTTCGGTTTCCTGGGGGAGGGGAAATTTCTAATTTTGGAATAGCTTTGGCGTAGATAAAATTTGTTGACAGAATAGTTGGAAATTTTGTATACATTTTTAAATTTTGAATAAATCAGAATATATTAAAAAACCTCATTTAAAAGCATTAGCTAAAAGTTTGTATTAATAAAAGAATATACGAATGCTTCTAGATGAACTTTTACTTTAAATATTTCCACATAAAATTAAGTCTTAATTTATTATTTATTCTAGCAAAAAATCTTAATAAAGAAATCTAATTTTCTGCGCTGTCTTTTTTAAAGTTTATTCCATCAAATATTAATCTAAATCGATTTTTCATGTTTGGCACGTAGAAATAAATTTTTATTGGCACACGAACCTGGTTTCGGTAATTTTCCTACGAAATCCACGTACTTTAAGGCAATCAAATTGCGCTTTCGGAATTGAATTGAAATCTGCGCAAATCAAAAATCTACATTGAAGCTCATAAATTATTTCATTGGCACAAACACAATTTGCATAAATCGCACTCAATCACAATGAAAGTAAATGTACATAAAGGTCGCTGAGACAGAGACGAGGGCAATTTTGGGGAAAGTCGAGACAGTTCGCTGTCTCCGTCTTCGTCTTCGTCTGTGTCTTGGCGAAGGCATTTCTCCATTGAAATTTCCATTTCATTTACTTTGCACATTTACATTACCCGCAACCTGCTCACCTCTTTCCCCGCTTACCACCGGACTTCTGTCTCGCAGGATTCGCCGGCGAGCTGTGCAACTTCGAGTATAATGAATGCGAATCGAATCCGTGTCAGAATGGCGGCGAGTGCATCGATCACATTGGCAGCTACGAGTGCCGCTGCACGAAGGGCTACAGCGGCAACCGTTGCCAAATTAAGGTGAGTGAACACAAAGCCAAATAGATATAAAACGGTTCTCTTTTGTGGCCAAACCGAGAGCGGAAATACCTTACCAACAAAGTCTATAAATAAAAGAATAAATATATTAAGTGTTTGGTTGTGTTTTCTCAGCATTTATCTATTTTCAAGCACTTTAAGCTTTCAAAATATGCTAAAAACTTTCAACCCTGAGGTACATTCAAGTCTCCCATGAATGGCAAACCTCTAGAGGTCCCATTAGTTGATTCACGATTCCCCGAGATAATCAATATTTTGTATTGAAAACAAATCCCGCGACAATTCCCCGGTGTGCGAAAGTCGAAGGACCCCAGCCGCACGGCAGTTGTCTGCGGAACTTGAACGGTATTGATTTAATTTGCTCAGACCGAGGACTCGCACAGGCATAGGAAATGGGATTCCACATGTGTTTTTGTGTGTGTGTGCGGGTACGTGGTGTGGGCGAGAGTAGATGTATCCTTCAGATACGAATGCTGGGAAAATACATTTTTGAATACGTAATGAAGTTTCAGCGGAGCTCCTCCACTCACTCCTCCTCCATTTCTATCCGACTCAGCCACAATATGCTTTGATTTGTGCCGATTTTTTTCTGCTTTCTCCCCGCTCCGTAGGTTGATTTCTGCGCCAACAAGCCTTGCCCCGAAGGACACCGCTGTATTGATCATGGAAATGATTTCAGCTGCGAATGCCCCGGAGGTCGCAACGGACCGGATTGTAATCAAATGCCACGAACGGTAAGTCATGATTTATGCAGTTTGGGTTTCTGGTTTGAGTTCTCTCGGTTTTGGTTCGCCGCCTTTCAGGCTGGCAAAAATGCCAGCAAATAGCCACAAAATGCTGGCCTACTGTGCAGCGGCAGTGGCATAATTGTAGGCAATCTTGTTTGTTTCACAACTGATGCTGCAATAACTACTACTACTGCACAATTTCATACACAATTGTTTGTGTGCGGTTGCTGTGCATTTTTAAGCTGATTTACGACTCCGTCCAGTCGGCCCCCGCCGGGGTTTCTTATTGAAATTGATATTCCATGTCAAAGTTCAGTTCGTTTATTCGGGCAAACCAATTTATATTCAAGGCTGAGCAATAACTATACAAGAGATGTAATGGAATTTTGTGGTACAAAAGTAAGGCGAACTACAGAAAATAATACGCTTTTGATTGATCCACATTGAATGAATAGTTCGTTCGTGAGTCTTGCTCGGTTTCCCATCATTCCATTTAATATTCTGCCCCTGTTTAGCCTTGCAAATATCAATTTCCATTCACGGCCCTTGCCAACTTGGTTCATAAATTGAGTTAACTTTTCTTTGAGGAGCGAACTAACTCGAAAAGAATTTAATAAACGCCCAATGGACTTGATAATTTGTGGTGCTAAAATAAAACTTAACAAAATGTACATAAATTAAGCGTCAAGGCGCCATAATTAAAGCTTTGTGAAAATGATGGACACGCTGACTAACCGCGATGGCTCCAAGGACCGGAGATCCCCGGAACACTGTCATTATGCTTATGGGGGGAGAAGGGGGCGTGGCAGGACGAAACCACGGCTAGAATTTGCGGCTGCCAGCAGTAGTGGCTCGTGGCTCCTGTTGGGGAAGGCAGCGAAATTAATTACATTTTACATGCCAGGCACACACACACAGAAATTGGAAGAATGGAGGTGGCTGGCGCCCAGCGCGGCTGCTGTTGCTCCTCCTTCACGGTAATTGTTGGGTTGGGTGCGGTTAGATGATAGCGGCCTCCACGAGGGCAAAGATATAGGAATATAAAAATGGGTTTCATCAATTTTAAGCTCTAGTTGGGAAAATATATCCTAAGATAATTTAATCAGATATTTTAAATACTTGTGATTTTTGTTTTATTTTGTATATTGCTACTCAATCCACCACCAATGCATTGATAACTCTCAGTACTTCCAGCAATGCAACGTGAATCCCTGCACCCACGGCGGCACTTGCTGGTCCAGCGGAGATAGCTTCTACTGCGCCTGTCGTCCCGGCTACACGGGCACCATGTGCGAAGGTGAGTCTGAGTTGCGGTCCCCAAAAGTCATTAACTTGATTAGGGCCATTGGGCGTGGACTGGCCGCTGAAAATATGTTTCCCTTGGTGGCTATCTAATTTTTTTTTTTTCCATCCGCTTTTCCTGGGCTTTATCCGGCTCGGCGTTCTTCTCTTTCCGGCCCGTTTTGCAGATGAGTTTGTGGTGGAGACTGTCGTTAGCTCCAGCGAATTTATTGTGGACGATGCGAACGCTAGAAATTTTAATGACAAAACTTTCGGTTCATCGGTTGTGCTTAAGAGTCCCATTGAATTGCATAATGCATATTTTGCGGCCGGAGTCCTGGCAGCCGCCATTTTCATCGTTGCCGTTGTGGTAAGTACCCAGAATTTCTCCCATTTCCCCCCTCCCTCTCCCTCTCCTTCTCTTGATTCCCGAAAAGCCCGGGAGTTCGAGCACAAGGTCCCAGCAACATGACCAGCATCCAGGGGAAATTGTACTTTGCGGTTATGTAAAGTGCGCACGCGAAATGGCATTGCATATTCATTTCGGTGTCGGGAAAGTGGTCGAGCAACTGAATTGAGCTGCAGAGCCGAGGCTTTAACCCGAAAGTTACCAATCGCCTGGACCAGCGGGCTTAAAGCAGATGCAAATATATACAATTGGTAGCTCCTTCACAATGTGTGTGTGTGTATTGCTTCAAGTGGAGAGCGGAGTCTCGGGCAATTTATTGGAGAGCCCAGAGCGATTCAGTTGGCTTGGTAAATTGATGCAGAACCTATAAAGTACTCCAATGGACAGGTTAATCTCGAAGCTAGGGTTATTTATTATACAAAATTTGAAAGTTCTTTAAAAGTTAGTATCGAATCATAGAATAATATAAATAGGTAAGAAAAAGGCTCTCCCCCAGCAGCTTTAAACTTTCAAACACATTCAGTCAAGCCACCTTTTTGGCCACTTTAACCGCAATTTCTTAGCTCGGCTTCCATTGCCATTACACTTTCCAAATACGAACCAATCCATAACCATTTACTTAGCCCCAAAAACCTCTCCGATATTTCTCTTCGTTGCAGGTCACCATTTGTCACTGCAAGGTCAATCAGACGTATCGGAAATTCTCGACACGTTCCACCTCGTTTATACCCATCCTGGGCTTCAGTCGCCGGCCCAAAATGCAGGGCAAACTCAATAAGCACTGGCTGAGTGGCAAGGGTGCCGCTTCCGCTGCCGCCGCCGTCGCAGCCACTGCGGGTGGCACCTCTAATGTGGCACCTACGGGTGGACCGAGGGGAAATGGGGCCGCGCGGCACCTACCGGGACAACCGCAAACGCAGACCACGCTGGGTGGCCAGCTGCAGGAGCGACCTTTCCAGCGGCACCTGGCCATGAACCTGGAGAATGACATGTACTACACGGTGGACTTCAGCGAGAACTCACAGCACTCGCCGTTGATACAGTGAGACTTGGACGGCAGCGGCGGATGGCTAGTCAAATTCACCCCAAACAGGCAGGAGTGAGGGAGTGGCGGGGCGGGGTCCTTGGTACTTGGTCCTTGGGCGGGGATTGTGTAATTATCTTTGATGCTACTCGTTGAATATTCCAAATATTGAACAGTATTCGATAATAATAAACTAAAAACGATATATGTATGTGCGAGGGGAGAACTAACTTTACGATTATGATTCCGGCTAATGCAAGCACAAATATTTATGATTAATACATTTATGTATGTATCTCCGGCATAAATAGGCTTAGCAAACTTGTTTATCCTGGTTTATTTTGGCTAAGCACACACGGGCACACGGACACGGACACAGATATGATAATGTTTGATTATAAAACACTCACGAGGGCGAAGGCGCAGGGAGAGATAATCTGAAATTATGTAAATGTTTAATGGGCTTGCACAAAACCTGCTCCAGTTGTCCTGTCCGCATAAGTTTATCGTTTGAATTTTGTACATTTATTCGGACTCGGGGCAGACAAGGCTCAACTATACTTCAATTTGTGTTTGCCTTCTCATGTGGAATGCAGGAGCAGATAGGGCTGGCCCTCGGCTAATTGTGGCCATAAAATCCCTCATAAATTTGTTATGCAAATGCCGGGTCCGGCCTTTATGGATGGCCATTTGCATATGGACATTTCAAAGAGATTAAATGACTTTCTTGCCCGGCGGCAGAAAGGTTTCTCAATAAATTTAATTAGCTAGAGTTGGGACTAATTATGTTTACCGTTCCGAAAATTCATAATACTCTTAACTATTTCCAATAATAACGGAAAATGGAGTTGTCTAGCATTTTCAATGCATTTTCATTTGCAAATGTTTGCAATTAGTTGAATACAATAAAACGAATCAGCAGCAAGAACGCCAAGAATTTGTACTGTGATTTGTTTCTGGTCACGCTGCTGAAATCAATTTCCACTCCAATGTGTCGCAAATATTGGGTTTATATCAACTACTAATTTCTGGAAATTCTGTTTGGTTTAGATTTAATTAATTTTGCCATACTAATAAATTGGGGGAGCGGGTGATTTAAATTGAATTTGGCCGGGGCAGATATCAGAGATTATTGTTGCTAACTGAATTCGGCCATCTGTGAGTTTGGGTGTTCGACCGCAGTCGAAAGTTGTTAGTGAAAAATAATTAGCATAAATTAAAATTGTAGCCACAAAAGTTAATATGTTTTTTGTGCATAAATAATATTTATTTTGAAATCATTTCCGTAAACGATGGCATGTGTTGTGTGTGTGTATCTGTGTGCTGGCCACATTTAGCATATTGCTGTTGATATGCAAACATAAATGCTGATCAAATGGCAAAGAGCTGCTCTCAATAAATGGTTTAAATAAAAATTAAAATTAAAATAAAGACGAAAAACAAATTGAGACGAAAATTCTGATACAGCTTGGTGCATTCATTTTTTGCATCAATAAATAATATTCGTGCAATTTGGAATGCAGAGAATGGGTTTGTAATTAAAATGCTATATTAAGTAATTAATAACGATAAACTGAGGCAAGCAAAAACAAAAGCCAAATGGAAAACCAATAATATAAAATTAATGAAAAGCCGTAGCCTAAGGAAAAACACGACAAAAAAAAACACAAAAAGAGAGCAAAGCAAAAATGACAGTAATGTAATGAAAAAATTTAAATTTAAATAAAACAAAAGGGGAATAGCAACATTTTTATTCATTGCGTGAAATGAGTAACCTATGGCAAAACACTTGGCGTTTTGGGCAATTACAATTTAATTTTTAAGCCAATCAGCAAAATAAAGTGGAAAATCCAGTGAAACATGAAAGAGTTCGAATTCAATTTGAATGGGAAAACAATTACCAGGAATCTTGTTTGTTTTTCGTTTTCAACAATTTCGGTTTATTCAGTTTGTTTCCCGTTTTTGCATAATTTATACATAGACATATACATTTATATAACATAACACACACATGTACAACTAAACAATAGTTTTCATTTATCATTTGCTTTTTGTTTGCTTTTTTTGTTCTCCTCCTTCTCTCGCTTCGGTTTTGGTTTATTAATATCACTCATACGCCGGGTGGGGCTGGTCAGAGAATTGGACTGGCAGCCGCCCCTCAAGTGGCGTCCGATTTTTCATCTTCCTGCTGCTGCTGCTGCTGCTGCTGCGGCTGTGTCGGACTTTTCCCATTTCCATTCGATTGTGGTTGCTGCTGAGGCTGCTCTGTTTTTTCCTCCCCCGAATTCACGGTGGTCTTTGAGGTATGCAGCTCCGTCTCCTCAGGAATGACCTTGCGACCCTCCTGATCCTACGAGTAGTTGATAAAATAAATGAAAATACAAAAAGCAGGTGAGTGAGCAATTTTCAGGTAGAAAAAGGTATACTGTTGCCCATGCCAAATGCTAAGTAAATAGGGTAAATACAACAATTAAAATCTATAATAATACAGTAGAGCTTTGATTTATTTATATAATTTATTGTAAGGTATTATGATTTAAAAAGAAGTTGCAGGACTCTATATTCAGATTTTAAATGCAAAGAAATTCAGTAATCGAAATATGTATTCTATGATAGTATTTAATCAAAGTTCTACTGTATTTTCAACAGTTTACGCGAATACAAACACACTTCCTTCCACTCGCTTTATTATTCCGCCATTGCACACATGCAATTAGCAAATTAAAAAGGTAAAATGCATGCACAAAACCAATTCCATAACGAGCATACAAATTAACCAACCAATTCCCGTACATAATAAAAACAAAAACCAAATAAAAGTAAACGGAAAAGGATACCCGAATGTAGAGTGCTATTTACAATTTACTCACTCAACTTGCTATTAGTTTTTCCCTTTGGATTTTCATGCAAATATGGGCAGCTATAATCAACATGTATGGTTATTTGAGTTCGAACATGAAATTTAAGTGGCCAATAAATTATATTTAATGAAGTTGCAGTCACTGGGATCGATGGGTTGCAAAAGGATACTGGCTCCCTCTACTAATGAACGTGTCGGATGTCTGGGAATTATGTTAGGTAATGCAGACTGCAAAGATTTAAGCTGGCTGCAGCTTTCCTATTTAATTAATTGGATTAGTATATTTTGCAATTAGTTTGCATATCCATATCATTTTCAATTATAGAATTCCTTCATTTAAATTCCGTTGGATATTGCTTCATTAAATTGCAGGTTTAAGTAACAAGAGAATTTAAGGAATTCCACTGAATTTATTTGTTTATTTAATTAAGTAGAGAAACTGTGTTTGCTTCGTATTTGTTTTGTCTCCTTAATAGCTTTTAGAACACATTATAAACTTATTCCTCCCACTTAAAAATGTTTTCTAGGGAACCCCCAGTTTTTTAGTCTTTAGCTCCGTTCTCCATTCGAATTTCAAATGATGTTTTCGGTTTTACCCCCATCTCAGATCTCGATCTGATGCATTTCATAAGCATTCCGGCTGAGTTCGCCTCGACTCCCATATGCACGAATAAACTGCAGTTTGCAGTTGCACCGAAAGCCAGTTGGAGTTGCCTTTTTTCCTTCTTGTTTTTAATATTTTCCATTTTCTTGTTTTGCCGCTTTGATGGTGCATTGTCGAAAGGCATTTCCGCGTCATCAAACTTTTCGGATAATTCGCCATGCATCGAACGTAGTTTTCTCCTTGTTTGGCTTTTTATTAAAAAAGTGTTTGGGTTGCTGTGTGTTAAAAAGGGGGAGGAGTGGTGGAAAAGCCACCGTCCTTGCAGTTGAATGCACAAAAGTTTTCCAACAAACCCACACTCACAGCCAAGTGCACCCCTGTATAGAAATGCGCATCTTAAGTGCCATGTGTGGTTGGGGGGGGGGGGGGTGTGGAGGGAAACTCACAGGAAAATAGAGAGGTACACTACACAAAACAAGCAAAGACCTAATTAAATACATTTTTTATTAAATATGAAAAATCTTTTAAACACAATTAAAATGTCTGAAACCAGCTTTGGGAGAAGTAAGGGAAAAGAAATCCTACAAATAATGCTAAAATAAAATTCAATTACCATTACCAGATATGATTCTTCTATATTATATACTTATTTTTTCTCATTAATAATTTAAATAACAATACACGAAGTAAATTGTAATAATTCACGATTTTCCTAAACAGAATAGAATGATGTCTAATGTTTTGTCTTGTCTTAGAATATTTACGATATTACTTGCTTCCAAGAAATATTAAAAAAAAATATTTTAAACAACAAATTCTAGCATTTAAAATATTTCTTTTGTGTACTGCGAGAAAGAAGGGGCATGAATTTCTATAATGCTTCTGCTCAGTTCATTTTGTGCTGCTTTTGTTTCCATTCCTTTGTTTGGCTTCGAGTTGGTCCTTGTACATACATACATATATACACTTTTTTTTACTGCTCCTTGCCGCCCCCTTCCCCCCCCAGTTGCCCCTTGTCCGTATGTCCTTTGAAACCGCTTACAATGGGCATTACTTACGCGCAATTTCGCGTTCACTTTTTGTGCGTTATGTTGAAGAAGTTATTGGCCTCGATAGACGAGCTTATAGAGCGCGCTATAAAGTCGTTTCTGGCCAAAATCAACAATGACAAATGTTGCCAGCAGCATCGAATTACGTGGCATTCATTTTGTGATCATTCCCCATAAATATTTCTATTTTTCGGGGGGCAGTCCATCCTCTCACACATCGATAAATCGCTTTCATGGCAAAAGAAATAAAAATAATACCAGCACACAAAAAGCGGAAGAAAAAGAAAAATCTATCGATGTGTGTGGAAATCGGAGCATATCTACTATGGCTAGAAAGTAGCAGAGGAAAGGGAAGGAGGAGAGCAAACAGGAAATCGTAGAAGGAAGTTGGAACATACAAATGTACATATGTGAATGTCAACATACACACAGAAAAGTACATTCAAACAAGAAAGTATACACACACAGAGACGTGCCTTGGCAATGGTAAAATATTGAGAATACGATTGGGACTCTTGCCATTGTTGCTGGGAATTGTGGCACAAAAGTGATGAAAATTGTTAGAAACATATATTTAAATATTAGGAAATTTTATTGAATATTTCAATATTTGCGGAATCACTCAGTTTTTAGGTCAATATTCAAGTCAAAAGATGTATTTAGTTTTTCCTCCCTTTTGAGCTTATGAAGTTTTTAAGAAAAAGCAACGCTTGCAGCAGAAACTTGATTTTTACCTCAAAGAAAACTCTATTATTAAAGAAAATTGTAAAAAAATGTAAAATGAAAGTCTGTAATAAATTTATTAAAGCTTACTTGATTTATAATACATTTTTATACCCATGCAGGGTATTATAATTGCAGTCAGAAGTTTGCAACGCAGTGAAGGAGACCTTTCCGACCCTATAAAGTATATATATTCTTGATCAGCATCAAACGGGGAATCTTTCTAGATATTTCAGGAAGAAATTGATTTTTTTGCCATTTTTGCAAAATTGTATAAGGGGTTACATCATTAAAATTTTTGATTTTGATAAAAAATTGAATTTTTAAAATTTTTAAATGAAGTATGCAGATTTATTAACTGTAGAAAATCTAGCACAGAACAGTTTTCTGATTTAAAATTAATGTTCTTTTGGCCGAGTTATGATATTTTTAATTTAAAAAAAAATTAAGAAGTTTTTTAATATAAAAAATCAGATTTTATAATGCAAAATAATATTTTTCTAAGTCAAGGAATCATTTCCGACCCCATAAACCATATATATTCTTGATCAGCATTAACATGCGAATCTTTCTAGACATTTCCGGAAGAAATCGATTTTTTGGCCATTTTTGCGAAATTTGATAAGGGGTTACATCATTAAAATTCGCAAAAATGGCCAAAAATTTTGATTTCTTAAAATTTTAAATTTGGTATGCAGTTTTTTTAAATTAATAAAAAGTAACACAAAACTGCTTTCCGAATCGATTTTAATGCATTTTTGGCTTAGTTATGATATATTTTAAATGTTACCTGCAAGGGTAACAAACTTTGGCTGGCCAAAGTTAGCTTTCTTTCTTGTTTTTTTTTACTTTTTTCATAATAAACCTGTTGAATTATAAATATTTTTCAATTTAAACCTTATTTGCTTATTATAAAATTAAAGCCCAATATTTTATAAAATTAAATAGTTTGTTTTACCTTCAATATAAATCCTATTTATACCACAATTTTTTTGAAACTTTAAAATTTCCCTTTGCTTTTTTGCCACTGCCATTGAAAAGTTTCAAATCATTTGCCACATTCGAACAGACGCTGTCCTTTGCTATGCTTCGGCTTGTTTGTTTATTCCCTGGCGTTGTTGTTCTTTTCACCCACTACACCTACCACCAACCACCCCCCCCACACACACACACACACACACCCAGTAAGACCCCACCCACCGCATTTGCAAAAACAAACATTGTTGCTTTTTGCAACAGCTGCCATTGTTATTCTTTTTTGTCAACTTGTATTAAGTTCAACAACAAATCATTTGGCGTAAAACGTAAACAAAATCAAAGCTCACGAAAAAAGCACACAACAATAGAAAAAGGGACATTTTTCAAGCTGCCCCCACACACATCCCCAAAAAAACACAACTGAATAACTAAACTTTAAGAGTGGGCAACACAGAACAACAACAACAACACCAATAAAAAATAAAAATGCAAAATGGGATGTGAGGTGATGTGAGCAACCAAGCTCAAATTGCTCGACGAGTGTGCAAAATTAAACTAAACTCAACTAAGCGTTCAGCATGGAGAGCTTGGGGCTTCAGGAGGCTCCAAGGGGGTTATGGGGAGGGGGCGGATAAGATGGGGCGGGGTTTTTGTGGGTTATGCACATGAAAACAAGTGATGCCCAAATGTCAAATGGCGCAAGTGCGGGCTTTAATTCAACGAAATAACTTAATGCCCGGATGGCTTGGCAAACTGCGACGCCCGAAACTTCTTCTCATCCTGCCAGAATTTTCGAACCAACACCCCCCCCCCACACACACACCAAACCGTCCAAAAAAAGGAAAAAAAAACAATAAAAACTGCAGCAATGGGAGCTGTACATGCCATTGCATTTTCCAGCAGCCCTACACAAAAAGAAAAATTTAAATAAATAGGTTTACAATACAGTTTGCATTGTGAAAAATTGTTCTTTAAAAGAGATTTTGAATATTCCAATATTAACTATCTTATTATAAATTAAAAAATGCTTAAATATGTATATTTAAAATAGTATTTTTTCGCAGTGCACGGTTGCAATATCTTGGCGGATGACGCTGTTGGCTCAGTTGCTTTTGCCACAGCCATGGTCTCTGTTTATTCGCATTCAGTGCTGCATGCTTTCGGGCGCTTGCAACCCAGGACAAGCAAAACCAAGAGGACTCAGGACATGCCCAGCCATGCAGTCGCAGTTACATATGTTTGTGTGCCGAATTACCCTTTGCAAAAGGGTCACAATGAAACAGTTAAGGTGTTTGTCAAAAGTCGAGGAAAATTTTAAGAGACAACTAATAATTATAAGCAGAAATATAACTTGTTTTCTTAATATATAATCTTTATAACTAATATAACTTTCAAATTAAACAAATGTAATATTTAATTTAAATTTTGTTTACAATTTTACTCCCTTAATATTCAGCATAGGGTAATTCGTTTATTCGGTGTTCTCATGCAATTTCATGCCATTTTATTTGGGCTATTTGGGGATTTTTACTTTTTGTTTTTATATGGGTTCTTGTACATTACCATTAACATGGAGCTGGGTATTACGGATAAATCCACAGCGGGTATTGAAGTTAACAAACCACTTGGATACTTTTTCATGCGGCTGGGAAAAAATGTTGATTCCACGCCCTGTTTGTATGCGAATGGCATTTTTGGCTATAGCATATATTATCCGCACATATATAGTAAGGGGAGATGCACTCACACTTTTACACAGTCACACACAAACACACACACACACACACCCTCAAGAGTACGAATATCGAATAGAAATCTCTCTGCTCTCGCTGGTTTTTGCCAAATTTATTTTGCACAAAGCGAAGTTTTCAGTTCTGGTTCGGGATTCTGCAGTCGGACGACTGGCCTGCAATTTGCAAGCAATACGACTTACACTTGGGATAAAAGTCTAGCAGCAATACATTAAGGAATCAATTGATTTAAAAATATTTCCTATTAAAATAAAAAAAAATTAAGGAAACTAGATTATAAAAAAAAAACAATTTTTGAACAGAAGAGTCTATCAAAATTTCTGAAATTATTTCAACAAAAAGAAACTTTTATAAATTTTACAAAAAAATTTACTTAAAATTCTCAACTTGGTTTAGCAGTAAACTTATGATATTTTTATATTATTAAAAATTAAGAAATACGGTTCAATAATTAACAAACACTCAAACACTGAAATAACAAAAATAGGTTTTTATGTGTTTTAAAAAACTAAATATTGGATAAAAGTCTTAAATAACTAATTATTTTAATAGGTAAATTGTTTATATTTATTATTTACTAAACATTTGGCAATAGAAAAATGTATAACAATTTAAACTAGTTTTTCCTAAGTGTACCAACGCCCAATGTGGGATGACCGCCCCCTGACCGCCCCTGTTTTTTGACTAAAACAAAAAATACAATAGTGAACTCTTGGGTTTCTCGGGTCTTGGCTTTGTTTTATTTTATTTCGTTGCTCGGCGATGTGTGGAGGCAAACTGTCAGTTTGGTCTGTTTCGAATCAGAATGTTTTCGCAAAAAGCAAAAGAGCAAATGGTAAGGCGAAACTTGGTCTTGTTCATAAATTCATTAATTTGTTGTTGTTTTTCTCCCCACACCCGACTCTTTGGCTGCAGCCACATTTGATTTATTGAATTACGGTTGCCTAGTTGCCATAAAAGCCTCGCTTCAAAGCATTGGAAATTAATTACGAAATTAACTTTGACAAACAGGGGAGTAGAGCAGGGAAAAGGGTGGCGGGATGTATGCGATAATCAATTATTGGCCATATATCATCGAAAGTTTTTAATTAAATGATATCTCAAATAAAAATGTCTGCACGCTGGCAATTTCTGCTTCAAGTTGTTGTGTAAGTTTAAGTTTTGATTAATTTGAGAAAAACAAGAACTGTTATGGCAAAATTTATATAGTATTTTAAGGCCAAAAATGTATAATCAAGCATAATCACCAAATCTTTGAGTAGGTAAGAAAATGTTATAATTTCAAAGAGATTAAAATTGAACTGAAATTCATATAAAACTTTGAAAACATTAGCACATTTTCTGGGGTTATTAAAGACTCTGAATGTTTCTTCCTTTGATATTTCCTTAATAGCCTCTTGAGAGACACTTTCCAATGCGATTCTCAACTTTAACCTTCGCACTGCGTTTGGTATTTTTCGATTGTTCGTTCCTCTTAGTTCGGGCTCTAAATTGGCAAAAACGTTGGCCGGCGGCGCATATGGTTGTCTTGAAAACAAAAACCAATAAACCCGGCTCCAATTTGAGCTGAACAGCAGGAGCAGGAATAGAGCATCGGAGAAGCCAGAGAGAAATCGAATCCACTGTAGCGGCATCAAAAGAAACGACCGCCCGACAAAGGCAACCAAATGCCAAACACACAAAACAAACCGCCTCTTCAGTCCCCAAACCCCCCTTAAACAAAGCACACTTGGAAAACAAATTATAACATAAATCAAAATAAATTTAAAATTGTAAAGAATTTTTATCTACTTCGAAGAAGCAGTCAAAGGGCCCTTCATGTTATTCCTTCCTTAATATTCCTTTTATTTTAAGATATTCTATTGATTTTAAAAGACTGGTTTTCTCCAGTGTATGTTGAACGAGTAGTGCCCGAGGCGGATGCAGTTGGGCCCGGCATCCGGTTGTCAAGGCGAAAACCAGAGACAGGATACTGTCGGGGACAAAGGACACGCGGCGGCAGCATGCTAAAAAGTTATTGTGGCAACAGATGTTGGGTATTTAAAAACCAAACACGATGGCGAAGAGCGAGAGAGCAGCTAAAAAGTCGCCATGAAAAAAACAGAAATCAAAACAATTGACAGCAATCAGCGAAATACAAACGCACGCACACCCATTCGCACAGGGGACAAGTGAAATAAAAAAGGGGATTTCATTCTTTGGTTGGTATGGGCGAGGACTCACCTCCAGGACGACGCCCTCCAGGGCTGGCTGGGAGATGTTCTTCAGATTGCTGTGATTCAATTTCGGGGCACTGTCGGCCCGATTGCGACCCAGTGATTGATTCGACGTCTTGTTATCGGCCTTGCTCAGCATCGAATTGTTCGAGGACTTGTGATTAATCTCCAGCGCCGAGCGCAGGATATCAACTTTCGAGGCGCTGCCGATGTTGCCATGGCGGGGCACTCCCCGCAAGGACTCCACATTATAGCTGCTGCGACGCACCGACAGATGGTCGTGGATATCGGCCTGGGGAAACGAAAATTCAATTTAAAATCGGGCATCGAAAGATCATTAACAAAACCAAGGCAAGATAAAGCTGTGACAGATGGTCGGCGGATAACTGAATTTGAAATTGGATCCGTAAAGGATTAGGCTTGGGAATCATTTATAAATCGAAATATCTGAGCACAAAATCAAAGAAACTTTAACTTTTTATACATTTAAATTGTTCAAGTCAATGTAAATGTGTTGTCATAACCCAGAAAGTATCTTGATTAAACACCCAACCCCCTCGCTGTCTCTCTCATAACTCACCCGCGATCCCCTGGGCAGCGAGGACAAACTGCCAATCTGATTGTACTTAATCATCAGACTGAGTCGCTCCAAGGACATGGAAGTGCCCTGCTCCTTCGTGGCAGGCTCCGTGAGCTTCTCCGTTTCGCCGGCCTCGACGGCCTCCACCTCCTCCTCGGACTCCTCCGTAGTGTGATCGAATTTGCGCAGCCAAATCAGATGAAGGAGCCCGTAGGCAATACCACCGACCACGGCCAGCAGACCCATGTAGCGGAAGGCATCTCGAGTGCCGAACTGACCAATAAGGAGTCCTCCAGTAAAACTACCACTGCCTCGTCCTTAAATTGGAGACAAGCCAAATGTGATTACATATACGTAAAGTGCCTCATTAGGAGTGTACACAGCAAGAAATTAAATCGCTTTTCAGTAGGCCTAGTGAATGCAATATTCTAGAATTCAAATAAAGATTACATTCCATAATTTTTAAAGATTTATAGTTTCTTTCCTTAATTCCTAAGTTACTTAATGTAAAGTTAAAATAAAATATAATTCTGACTTATTTTCTTGCTCCTGTGTAAGACTCCATATAAACACTTACCCAAACTGAAATGGGCCATGCCCAGGACACCAATCAGGGTGGCCAGCAGACTTTTTGGGGCCAGTATCGAGCAGTAGGTCGCCGCCGCCACCCACATCAGATGGCAGGATAACGACTCCATGGCCTCGAACGGAAAACACCACCAGGCATTCCTTTAGCGGGGAAAAAAGGGAATTCAATTTGGCATTGCATTAGGCCGACATGTGACCAACATTATTCGCACTCACTCGATGAAGGAGTAGCCCACCAGGCGGCCGGCGTGCGAGAAGAACGCGATGATAATCAAATTAACGTGCCCAAAGATCCGTGTGATTTTCTCCGCCCCATAAAGGAACGGAATACTGCTCACCGTGCCCACGGTAATGGTGATTCCTGGTCATTAAAATAAGCCATATAAATTATAAAATAGTTCTTAGTTCAGAAATAATATTCAAAAATAAACTCACCCAGTAAATAGTTAGGAGCTCCCAGCTCCTTGAGATACAGGAACAGGAAGCTCTCAATGAAGCCCCAGAAATTGCCCAGGACAAACAGGAATATTATAAAGGCAATAACATGTGGCATTTTCAACAAATTCCACAGATCTCTGAACACATTGTCCGCCGGCAGTTTCTCACCAAGTGGCATCATCAGCACCGACATTGTGGATATCACCAGCAGGACATCGTACGTGTAAAAGGCTGCCGAGTAATCCGTATAACCCAGTCCCCGCGAGGAGTAATCAATCATAATGCCGGTTATCGGTGAGAATATGGCCATGCCGATGCTGGAGAACAAACGCTCGCGACCGAAATCCCCACCATACTTCTCAATCATTGTCAGGGCAATCGGATCCATGATGGTGACTCCAGCTGACAGCATCGTGGTGGCCAAAAATCTGGATACGAACAAGAACAGAAAATCAGAAATGAGATGTAACAAAATCATAAATGTTTTTTAGACGTTATTTTGATGTCCTGCTAAATGTCAATCACTCTCACCTCAGCAAGAAGTAAACCCAGAAAATTATCTCATCGGTCTCCTTGTAGTCCGGTGGACAAATCTCAGGAGCATTCATCGTGAAGGTGCACCTTTGGATCATGCATTTCGCAGCTGTCGAACCCAAATTAGAGATATTCGTGCGTCGCACCAGGCCACCGCATCTCAGATCGAGTTCGTCCAAGTCAGTGAGGTTGATATTGGCCCTGATCAGGGAGTCTTCACCGAATCTCTGCCGGATGTCGGTCACCGTCTCATTGGCATCCTGTTCAATTTCCATGCCCAATTGCTCAGTGGGATCGGCGAGATCCGGATGCATTTGCAGCATGAAGTAGGTGGCGTCATCATTATCGGAATGCACCCAACTGCTACTGCTGTTGCTGTCTGTCACTGTTTAAAAATAAAATATAGATAAAATACAAATGAATTATTAGCATTCTGACGCACAAACAACTTTGTATTAAATAACCTACTTCTAAACCCTTTAAGATACCTTAGTTTCCAAATCCTTTCTTTAATGTCTCTATAATTGTAAACTATTTTTGCTTTTGAAATTTTCCCCGCTGTGTTTTCACTAATCAGACAGGCAGGAAAATTGTTCTGTCTCTTTTCCTGCTCTTTTCTGCACCCCCCAAGGCGAGCAGAGTCACAGTCTAATTCTGATTCTGATTCTGATTCTGAGTTGTGTCCTGCTTCGTCCTGGGCCCTGATGTCCTGTGCCGGCCATGCATGACCAATTTCCAATTGTGCCAAGTGTCAAGAGTACAGCCGAGTGTAATGCCATCATGTTTAGTTAGTTATGCACTTTTGTCTGCTGCTGTTGCTGCTGCCGTCGAGCTCCTTTTTCGGGAATTCCCACATTGTGCAAATTTCTGGCCAGGACATTAGCAAACTTTCCGACTCTTCTGAGCTCTATGCCAGTGAAGTGTGGCAAGGGAGAAGTTTGGCCAACATCTGATGTACACATGACTTATGATTAGGACATGATTTAGGTTTCGTGTTTTAGGGATTAGGGGAACGACTATGGCTATGCTGATGGGAACAAATGGAGAAAGTTTAGGTACTGGATAGAAATGTGCTAAGATTGATTGATTGTTGGAGGAAAGTTTGATCAATGAAATATTAAATATTTAATATCTTAAAATACGAGTAAATTTGTAAATTCTCTTTTGGAAAAAGCCTTTCTACATGTTTCAATACCTCAACTAAAACTTTTTAAAAAAGAACCAGTAATAAAAAATCATTGTTGCTACATGAAAATATCACAAGTAAACATCATTAATATTAAATTCATGAAAATTCAGCCTTAGTATTCTACCTTCACACATTCTCCCCATTTTCTAAGGCCAACTGTTTACATAAGTTATTATCCCTAAAAAGGCACTCTCTTTTCCATCTACACGGGAAATATTTTCCTTTTGCTCCCCTGCATATTTTCCCAACTTGACGCCCACTTTTAATAATGTGGAATAAAAACGCCTTTGTGAAGTTTTTTCCCTGGGAATTGGAAAAAAGTTTCCCCGTAAACTTTGGCTCCACACAAAACGTCAGGCTTTAATGACAACCACCAGCACCACCGCACCACACGCACTCGCTCAGGTTGAGTTATACTTATATATATTTTTTTTTTAGTTTCATAGAGAGAGTCGAGTCGAGTCGGTCTTTGGCTTTTATGGTGCAAGTTGTTCTCTGGCTGTGCACCCCAGCTCCTCTGACCACATTCCCGTTCCTGGTAGCAGCTCACAAAAGACGGAAAAACAAACTAATAAAAGTAAAACACACACGGATGGGGGAAGAACACAGACACGGACACGGATACGGACATCGACACGGACAAGGCACGGACACGGTCCAAGGATGTGGACACCGATAAATGGCTGGGTTTGGGGGTTGGGTATGCTGGCAGGGTATTGCAAGTCGTCAACAAGTAAACCGAGTGGAGAACAAAGGCAGCAACTAGAAGCAACTTGCAGTGGGTGCACTTCAATAAATTATTTTAAGAGACTTTTTCCTCACTGAACAGGGTTTTTGAAACTATAAGAAGGGATTACTTTTTTGTTAGTTCGAGAAGTAAGAAATTGGAGTGGTGATATTTTTATAACCTCAAGGAGCGATAACGACGTCTAATTAATTTACTTTTTATGGGTAATATTAATCATTATTTTTTGCGAGTGCATCCAACTAGCGAGGATAATAACGCTGTCTGTGGTCAGTCGCTGGCGGAATAAGAGGAACTCTGCTGTGGAAGGGTTCATCACGACACTTACAATTCAATCCCTGCATGGACATGGCGGACAGTTCGGCTGACGATGCTATCTCCTGGCCCATCCCCGGATCCTTCAGCTGGGACATTGGCGGGAACATGGTCGATGGCATATTAAGTACTTCTTGGTATCTGCTCCTCGTTTGCGTTGCGAATAGCGCTGGCAATGATGACGCCGGCGATGAGGTGGTCGATGTGGTCAGCGGGGGCTGCATTGAACTCGACTCGTCGAAGGGTTCCATTGTGGCCACCGCTCCTCCACTGGCGGTGGTCGTACTCGCTGTGGTCGTCGTTAGCTGAGATCTCTGGGTGCTGGCCGGACGGACATCGTATGCCGGGGTGTTCGTGTAGAGCTGAGGATTAACTTGCTCCTGCATCAAACAATAGTCGACGCACTGATGCACGGCCAATTCCAGCTCCGGCTCCTCTGGACATTCCCGGCTTGGACATGGAGACCACCAGACCTGCAGGAAAAAAGGGGAATAAAATAAGACAAAGGAATGTATTGCAGATTAGGAATGGAGTAAAGGATTTGTACAAGCAGAAGGCAGGTTCCACAAAAGCTTTGCAGTCCTTACATCGATTGCTTGAGCCAACAGCAAGCTTCGGTGATTCGATTTGGTTTCAAATAGGATTACTTAATGCCAAAGAATATTTCACGAGGATGTTGTAAATCAAAGTTGGCCCTGCAATAATATTTGGGCCTTAGAGATTGGAATAGTAGGCTTCGACTCTCCCTTCGACAAACCTCAGGGCTGATCTTACGTTTTGAACTCAGTTCTCAGTTCCCAGCCAGGTCGATAGATAGTCATTCTATCAAAGCAGAGAAGCTTACCCAGAGAAGGAAATTGTCAACCGTAGCAATGTCTTCGGTACCGATTCGAAACTGGATCAATCTGCTGCGAGATCTGGCCACTTCGCCCGCCGCCATCATTGTGGTGTGTGGGTTTGTGGCGTATGTGGCCTATACAAAGACCAGACGCCGCTTTGTGACCTACGACGATATCGATTACAAAAACGAGGGACATGTGCAGCAGCCAATTCCGCTGAAGGGACTGAGACTCACTCGTAAGCAACTGGCCAAATTTAACTCTAATCGGGCCGACAAAAAGTACCTGGTGGCCCTAAATGACCTGATCTACGATGTTTCGAGTGGAGCCACTGATTTTGGACCTGATGGCAAGTATGCAGAACTCCCGGGCACCGAAATATCCAATTATGTAAAGAAAGAATCGCGATTGGAGGGCCGCGAGTATGAATTGTGTTTGAATGAGTGGCGTATGAAGCTGGATGACTTCTTCTATCCCGCTGGGAAGCTTGTGGCTGATGCAGCCACCAAAATGGATTCAGTACCTGAAGAAATCGAAGATATCAACGAAGAAGAGCAGCCAGATCTAGATTTGCTGGATGAGGAGGGTGACGTGGAGTTGGGAATAGCCGGGTCTTCCAAACACAACATAAGTGTGTCTTCAGAAAAAGATACCAGTTCCGAAGGCGACAGTAATCGCATCACCTACGAGGGTTTTCCCGATAGGGATGACCGCGACGAGGTGGACAGTGAGGAAGAAGGTCAAGGGGATTACGATCGAAATAATGTCACTCTCATTCCTGTTCCGTAAAGACCCTCCCTCACCTTCACGCACATTGCCCATTGAAGAAATCTAGCCAAAAGTGGCACTTAACTCATCATAAGCCTCGTATATGAACTTAAGCCCTTAGCCATAATAACACAAACAAAAATATCTCTGCAATTTTATGTGTATCTGCATTAACACCAACTACACTGAGAGAACAACAAGAATGTCGCACTGCTGCCCACACTTTATACATACCTTTTATACATTTTAAGCCATTTCATATCTCAAATTTTTGTACTCTTACACCAAAATGGAAATACTACGATACATTCAAAGCGCAGGCATATCAAATATACAATTCAATGGGCAAAATGAAGTATTCTTGAGTTTTTTTTATAAAAATATAAATGATTTTAGCTCGGAATTCTATGCAACATTTCCAAAGAGTTTCTCTCTGTGCCCTGCCTGCGGCCATGTGTTCGTGTTTCTGCATATATCCGTTACCAATTTTAATGTGAATTCAATAAGGCTCATCCAAGGGTTGCATGGGGTTGATTGGGCGGGAGTATCGGGCGAATGCCTGCAATAATAAAATGGTAATTTCCGTTCGACGTCGCCGTCGCCAGCGTCGTCGATACCAAATAAATTTATGCCAAACGGCAAACAGAACGGGGCTCTATAATGGCATAAAATAGTAAACCGCAAGCAACAGGACATGGCCACTGTAACGGGACGCAGGACATGGTACATGGTACATGGTTACATGCTCCAAGAATAGAGACGTCCGGCGAACGTGCGGGCTGAACACAAATGTATCCATAAGATGCGTTTTCAGGCCCTTATGGCCGGTAACTACCTTTTCCAAGGAGTATGTGGAATTAAAATGTGGGGTTTGAAATATATTTTAGAAAAATATATCAAATAAATATATGTTGGGATATATAGAGAATGAAAAGTGAACATTATTCGAGGCTAATATTTAAAGCCTTCAAAAAGGAGCTATATTTAGTGGCATCTTTATGTTTTACATTTATAACTTAATTGTATAATTGTATGAATATTATTAATATCAAGGAAATGTTTAAATTATGTAAAGCATAATTAATAAATCTTAAGTAAATTCAAATAAAAATACGCAAGTCTATAACATAATAATAAAGTCTTAGCTATTTTTGCAGAATATTCCCTATTCGGTGTGTGGCTTCTAGTTCTTGCCCTGTTTGCTGCAGCTATTTTAATGGTGTTATTGTATTTTATGGGCACATCATAAATACAAATTCAATATACGCCCGTGCCAAGTGCCGAATGGCTGAGTGGAGTGCGGGTGGAGTTTTCGAGGGCATTGCCTGTGCGTATCTGTGAGATACATTCGTGAAATGAGGCGAAAGCTGGGGGCATTTTTGGCCAAGGGCCAGGCACCACCACCACCAGAACGACGACCAGGCCCAGAACATTCCCCAAAATAGCAGTTCCATTGCGTTTCATTACGACTAACGGCAATGGCTCGAGTGTGAGCACAAGAAAGATTTTAATGTGGGCACGAGTGTGTGCGAGTATGTGCCACTGTGTGGGTGTTTTAGTGCGGCTTAAGTGCTGGCAAAACGACACTAAGATAAATGTACGTGATACACAAGCACAGCGACCGAAACACTTACACTCACACTCGCCAGAATTCTTTAAATCTATCAGTAAAAATCCCAAGATAATGCCAATTTTTATGATATAAACCGAATTAATGATTAATTAATTCTTTAAAAAATTAAATTTGATAGCAACCTTCACTTATTTATTTATATTTTATATTTTTTATGTATTCCATAATTATTTATAAGAAAATATAATTATTTAGAAAATATTAGAGCTTAAAAATGCATTAAATACGCAAAGCCAGGCTACTAATATTTTCTACTGAGTTTTAATATCAGTTTTTAATTTAATTTTCGTCAACCTAGAAGATCAAATTGATTTATTTTCAATCTTCTGAATTTGAATAAGTGCATGTCTTGTTTTACCTTAACAGGATTTCTTTTTTGTTAGTGCTTGTAAACCTGATGTGCACTCGCATTTAAGTGGATTTTGTTTTCTTTTTTTTTTTTGGCATTTCCGCCCTCCCGCTTAGGGGGAAGTTTGTTGTAAAGCTGGAATGGGGCGTCCCCGAATTTCCCTTGGTCGCAGGAAAATCATGCAGTTGGTTTCTGTGAGCTGTTTCTAATGCGTTCCGTTCGGTTGTTGGCTGTCAAGAACGCTTCGGCTGCTGCTTCTGTCATTTTCTATTTTCAATTTTCCATTTACCATTTACCAATGGAATTTGTTTAGCCTCAGCATCCTGCTCTCAATCGCAAGAGGGCCCTTTGGCTTCGTTTTGCCAGAGTATCCCTGCCATGCAGATGCTTCCCCCGGTCCATAATTCGATTTATGTAAAACTCTTGTAGTCCTTGCAGTCCTTCGACAGCTGCAATTTGCTGGCAATGCTCAAGAGCGGCTCCTGTCCCAAATGCCATTGCCAAAAGGTGTGAGACTCGGCGGACTCCATAAAGAATGCAATTCCAAGGGGAACTGAACGGAACTGAACTCTGGTCGAACACCTTGTACATACGTACTACATATTTATAACCGAAATCTCTTCCTGCCAGCCATAAAGCATGTACTTAAATTTGTTATGCCACATCTGACCGGCTTAGAGGACACAGGGCATGGCACGGCACCCAAAGGACACGCAATAACCGGCATCCCCCAAGTCAGAGCCAGAGTCGTTTGCATTGATATGATCATAAGCATAAAACGTACACACATACACACACACACAATCGATATCAATAAAAGAAAAACGCTAAGGGAAATCACAGAAATACTGGTACAGCAAATACATCCTTGAGCCCCGGCAACCCCTCTCAGATATCGTGACAGTTATTTGCTTTATTTCGATGATTTTACATGACGCAAATTTATGCACAAATGCAGATAGAACCAGTATCAGACCTCAACCGATGGCAGCAAAAAAAAAACTGGAAACCGAAAGGACGCTTTCAGCTGCTGCACTCGTAGGGTGACAAAAACAGATGCACTCGAAGAATACTTTACTCCAGCGAGAAAAATTGTAATTTACCCTTGAAGAGATTTCATTTTCTAGAAAAAAGAAAGTCTTTTAGGAAATTAGTTTCCCTTTTTTCAATGCCAAGATTTAATTTAATTTTCAAAGAAATCATAGTATCATAATAAGCTATTTGCCAAAAACTAAAAATATTTTAATCCAAATACCAACTTATACTGGAATTCTCTGCAGGATTTAGTAACTTCTATATAAGACTCCCTGCCACTCCCTGCGTATACGTAATATTTACCCGTTCTGACTGTCTGTATGCTTATTGACACTGTATATGCGTCCCGTGTGCGATTGTGTGTGCGCTAGCATGTGGCAGGCTGCTGGGAGCCCAGAAATCGAGAGAAAGTTTCTGCATTTTCGCGAACGTGCCACGCATTAGATACACACGCGCACAGATACTGCAGGACAGTGTGCTGGTGTGCGTGCTGGTGTGTTGCATGTGACAACATTATGTTGCCGTTGTTGTTGTTGTTGCCATTGCCGTCGAATAAATGCCGGCTTTTATGTAGTTTTCCCCTGCTCCACAACACTTCTCGTTCTCCGTGACTCTCCGCCAAATAGAGACATGCCGTGACTGAAGTGAGACCATTGTGCGAAAAGTGGAGGGAAGAGGACTCAATGGCAGCTCCGAATGGCTAAGAGGATGCCGAAGATTTTTGGCAACTCGCACATAACAATTGCCATTGAAAATTTCCTGACTGGCAGTAATAAAGTTACTGCTGAAAATGTAGTCTTCCTGAATCTTTCTTTTAAACTGTGTTAAAAAAAGCCGAAAAATTCGATTTATGACGGGGAAAGATTAAATAAAGGTTTAGAAAGTATTAGCCATAATATAATATGCGTATTTTTGTATAATCATATATTGCTAAATATTTGTTGTTAAAATTACAAGGTATGCGAATGTAACTAATTACCAACCAAATTCATTCGTTATACTTTCCGGTAGAACTTTAAAAAATTCCACATCCAAAGGGAATTTGTTTCAGTTTCAAGGAGGCCATGTGACAATATGAAGCTTCTTCTGCTACTATTCTTTTTTTGTATGTATATAAACCAATAATACTGGCAATAGAATACTTATAAAGAGCCCCTTCTTGTTATATTTTTTAAGCTGTGGTCAGTGCAGAGCAATATGTTACGGAGCAACTAAGGGATATTGTTGATAAATACAAGCACTTGACCTTTGGCAACTCCGAATTCTCCAATTGGATTGAACAAGTCTACTATGCCAGTAAAAAACCAATGGGTTTTGAAGCCGAGAAATATTATATATATCATAATTTCCGAGTATACGATGGAATACGTCAACAGTTGGAAAACCAAATAACTGACCGCATTAACCAACTCGAAAGCCAAATGCCTAATAGAAAACTCTCACAAGCATGTGTTACGGATTTTCAAGCCAAAATAAGTCGTCTCCAACATGCACTTAAGTCTTCCAATTCCGAAAAGACCTCAATTTTAGACCGAAGCCTCCCTCACTGTAATGAAAAAGATGAAAAGCCCAAAAAGAGGAAAAAGAATAGCTCCAATTATGATTATTGGTATTGGTGGTGGTGGGGTTAATAAGAAAATATTTAATATTTAATAAAGCCTAAAAAAGTGTCAGCAATCAAAAAATATGTGAATTTTCGTAAAATATATTGTTAAGAGACCAGAATTTTAGACCAAACCTATACTAAATGTACAGCAAAAGATGAAAAGCCGCCCAACAAGAGGAAAAGGAATAGCTCCAATGATGATTACTGGTATTGGTGGTGGTGGAAGTAACAAGATAATATTTAATAAAGCCTAAAAAAGTATCAGCAATCAAATAATATGCGAATTTTCGTATTCGTTAATATTAATTGGTTGTGTATAATGTGTAAAGTACAAGGTTTTCATTAGCGAATTCGATATACTTGCTGGTAGAACTCTAATAAATTCTACATCCGAATGGAATTAGTTTCAGTTGCAATAAGTTCTTGTAACAATATGAAGGTTCTTCTGCTATTATTCTTCCTGTGTAAGTACATAAACCAATAATACTAACAATATAATACTAATGTAGAGCCCCTTCCTTGTTATATTTGATAAGCCGTGGCCAAAACTGAGGATGACACAACACAGAGACTAAAGGATATTGTTGATAAATACACGCCCGAAGCCGAGGGTTACCCTGACCTCGCCAAATGGATTATCAAAATCAACCGCGTCGTTAAAGAGGGTAATGATATGGAGAGAGCTAGTATGCTTTCCCAGTTCCAAGTATACGATACAAAACGTAGATATTTGGATGGCCTTCTAGATGCTCGCATACGCGAAATCGAAAGCCTGTTTCCTGATAGAAGACTATCACAAGCATGTGTTGACGAGTATCTAGAGCAGAAGAAAATTCTCTCCAATTCCTACAAACTTTGTGTAAAGAAAAAGCTGAGAAATATAAATCAAAATTCTGCCAAATGTACTAAAGTTGACACCACAGTTAATCCAACTCCAACAAAGACGACTGGAGTTGCACTGAATTCTACAAAAGGATAAACAGGAGTGCTCTTTTGGGAAGGATAGTACAGTTTGTGGGTCCAACGCCCATATTTGGAAGACAAAATAACTACTAGGCAAGACGTCGTCTCTCCAAATCCTATAAGCACACAAATATAGATGAATACTCTAGCAAATGTAATACACAAGAGCCAGAGTAGTGATGGTGGTGGGCATAATTTCGAAATAAAAAATCGAATTCAAGGAACATTTTAAATATGTTAAAGCATAACTCGACTCTGAATTGGTAGTTACTAAATGAAAAGGCCAAAATACAGGTAATTTCAACACAAAACTGAAGCTCTTATCTACAATGTTTCATTAAAGGTAACTCAAAACCTTGTAAGCAAATGCGATTAATTAACAGACAGTAACTAAAAACTAAACTGCATCCTTCTCGCTGGCACACTTAACTTGGCTCACAAATGTTAAAGTCATCAAGTGGCGAAAGGGTGTTGTCAGTTCAGGCCAGGGGCAGGGAGGTGGAGACTTCAATGTGGGTGACGTGGCTGCGGGGCAACCATGAAGTAAGCGCATTAAAACTGCACAAGAGCAACAGCTGCTTTCCAGGAGCAGGAGAGAATAATGCATCCGGGAACTTTCTCCAAAGTGGGGAAAATGGCAAAACGGGTGGTTGGGTGGTTGGGCGAACCGCAGCCACATCATTTTTAGCTCTTAACTAAACAAGCGTCTCAAGATATTTGCCCCACGCACCTCAACCACAGTCCCCTAAGCAGATTACAGCCTTCGACAAACATTCAACGAGATTGAATTCAAGTTAGAGCGCTTTAATCGATCGAAGGTGCAAGCGTACACAGCGGAAAAGTAGTTGAGGAGAGCTAAATGATTGTGCAGAAAATGGCAACTTTTATGTAAAATGTATAAAAGATATTAAAGTAATTTTTTAAAAGGTATTTGATAATACTTTAAAAAACTTACCTCGATATCGCCGCTGTCTGCATGTCTCAGTACGAATGCCGATGGCACCACTCCCGGAATCTCCTGCTGCGGTATAAAGAGCAGCGAGTGATGGAAAATCGCATTCAGCAGTAGACTCATCACAACGACCGGTTTGTATTTGCCAAATTTGTCAACGAGGAAACCTTTGGGGACAAACGAAAACCAAAAACTAAAATAAGAATCGATTGAATCTGTCGAAAATGTAAGTAAAATTGCAGCAAGATGTGCGCATCGTGTAGCCAACAAATAGGTTGTCTACATATTTCACAGAGGCCTTTGATTGGATGCCGCACAATGCAATTTAAGTTGGATTTTCCAGTAAACGGAAAATCTTGAGTATTTTTCTAGCAAGTTTTATGTGTTTTAAAGATTTTTAGGTAATTAAAGTTGCCTTAAAAATCTCTCTTTCTAGCTGTAAAGAATTGTCTGGGTAAATAGATTTCCTAACTTATTAATGTTTTTTAAGACCTTCATTATTTTCAACAGTTTTCTAATATTGAAAATAGAAGTCTCCTTTATTTCTCCCGTATTTTCTAGCCACTTCGATTTTATTGCCTTCAGGTACTTAAAGCTTTCAATACCCATTATTTAGGACTATCAACCATGATTATAAGGCAAGTTGGCTGATCGAAATTTTGATGTGGCAACTTTACGAGTACGTTTTCACTTAGCTCACATTTTATATATTTCGCTCTTTTCCCCGAGCTTTTATGTCCGACAATTTGACCAGCTTTATGCACTTTTCACTGACCCGGCGCTTCCAATGAACCGCTCCTCGTCCTTTTGTGCCCGTGTGCATCTTTTTCAACATTTATCTGCAGCGAGTGTATCCACATAAAATGTTTAAAAAGCTTTGCTGTCGCCGACATTCCATACCGCAAATGCATTTTAAAAATGCAAAAGCAAATAATAAGAATGCATAAAAAACAGTGGCACAAAAGGAACAGGACTAGACCGCAGGATGGGGGCACTTCACATGCAGGCAGTCAAAGGCGAACAACAAGAACTATGTTTAATTGTCATTTAAAACTGCAAGTGAATTAAATTATTCGCACTCGTCCGGAAAAGTGCTTGGACCGAAAAAAATGAATGTAAATTGCACAGAGAAAGAGTGCAGAATAAAAATAAAATCAAATATATTCAGTTTTGCTTGTATTTATTTATGAGAGAACCGCCCAAAAACTGATGCCTTCATAAAAATAGTTATTTTAGTGATATTTTGAATGTATTGTTTACAAAAGGCGGAATCTGAATAATATTTGACCAAAAAATTTTAATAAATATACAAAAATATTAAAATTGGAAAATAACCCCTGCACACACATATACAAAAAACATAATAAAAATCTGTCACTTTTGTTGGCCAAAATTCGCTCGGTTTAATTTTTGGTTCTTGCTCTTGTTTTCTCGACCGAATAATCAGACAAAGCAAAACTTTTAATTAAAATCACAACGCAGTACCGAGCTAATTAAGAGGCATTAAAAACACTTACACCCAAAGACGCCTTCTGGCATTTACTCACCTGTGATGGGCGGGCTAAGAAATGTGGTGAAAGGCAGGGCCAGGTAGATAATTGCAATCTCCTCCACCGTGAGGCCAATCGACTGCATGTGGATCGTCAGATAGGGCAGGAGGGAGGAGGTGGCTGCAAGGGACAAAGAAATACGGATTATTGTGTGAATTATGAAGAATCGAGGAGAAGAACCTAATTATCTGCCGGAAATGTGAGTGAAGGGAAATTACCCAAAATGAAATCAAGGAACTTCCTTCAAAGGAAGGAAATTAAAAATTTTCACTAGTGAGGGAAGCTGGAAAAGGGGAGACAAACCTAAACGAATTGATGGATGAGAGTGTCTTCTTCAATGATTGATTAGTTTCCGCATTAAACTAACAACATTTTAGTTATTTTTCACCAACTTGCCCAGTATTTACACTTTTAGCACCTGTCTACATACGCTTTTATGTTAATTAAATTTTGTTTAATTATTGCATACACAAGAAATCAATTTATTTAGCAAGAAAAAGCACAAGGAACAAAAAAATTAGTTAAAGAATATTATGAGGAATTTTTCCAAAGTCAATAAAAAATATTTAAGTCTTTATTTATTAAGAAAAAAGCTATTTTAAAATAATTTTATATATATAATTTTATAATATAAAAGAAATAATAGAAGACATATACTCATCAAATTTCTAAACTATATATCTCAAAGGTAAAATTATCTAAAAATATTTTACAATAGTAATTTTAAGCTAACTAACAGAAATAAGCAATATCACAACTCAAATTTCCAATAAATCATATTTCCCTACATATTCAAAATTTGTTTAAAGTCCTCCAGAGTTCGAGCGAAACCGAAATCGAAAATGGGCGCCGCAGATAATCTTCTTGCATTTCAATAATTTATGGACATTAACGCACCAAGCACGCATCACGTGGCTGCAGTGGGGAAAAAAGGAGAAACGAGGGGAGAATCGTCGTCGGAAAATGATGGCAACAAATTGGGCGAAACGGAAACGGTGTGAAGCAGTCATGAGTCACGTTCCCTTCGAAAATCTCCCCCCCTGCCACCAATTTTTCCACAGCCTTGACCAATTTAAATGCAAACACACCGAAGGATCACGGGCACGTAAGCTGGTGTGTGTGTGTGTGTGTGTGTGTGTGTGTGTGTGTGTGTGTGTGTGTGGCGGGCGGGGTAAAGTGCGTGTCCTGAATGAAATTCGTTTGTTAAAGTGCAGTTAACACTCGGCCCCGGGAAAATGGCGGCTTGAATTCGGTTTTTACAGCTCTTGCATCGCCTCAGATAATTAACAATAATATGCTCGACATCCGTGTGTGTGTGTGTGCGTCCGTTTGTGTTTGCTCAATGCAATAACAATTAATTGCTCGCTGGCTCGCTGACCCATCTCCTCCGTACCTTACTTCGAGCGCGGCGGAAACGGAAACGCAAGCATGTCAGGGTTGTTTGGCTTGGCGGCCATTCATGTTCGCTCGAATTCTCTCAACTGGCCCTGCAAAAGTTTCCACTCAGTTTCCGTTCAGTTGGGATCTGTTCCTGCCACGTTGTCATTCGTAATTAATGGCTCTCAGCTGGAGATGTGAATCGAAAATAAGAATCGCATATAAAATGGTGAATGTGCACGAAAATCGCACTGAATATCAGGATGAAATTATTGATTTACAATTAAAATGGACATCGGTTTTTGTGAATTTAGCTGGGAAATTCTTTGAAAACTGCCCTACAATCTTTAACTCTCCGGAATCTTAATAAGAAAAAGCTATAATCAAATAAAACTGCATGGAAATATCCTGCCAACACTGTTTTAACTTTCTCATTTCGTGTTTGCTCATTTAAATTATATTTTTCGTGTTCCACTTTAATAATAATTATTCCGTTTTTCATTTGTCGTGTATATTTTCTGGTATGCCATCTATGCAATTTGCATCTGTTTGACTCGCCCGGCAACTATATTGCACTTTATTTATGAATTTTTGAGCGTACATGTTTGAAAGAGACTCATAAACTGACACTGACAGATGTGAAATGTGCTGCCAGAATTAATTGCAATACATTTTTCTAGGTTTATTTTTGTCAATTTATTGACCGGCGAATAGGGAATTGCCAATTGGACTTTTTTCTATGAGTTATAGAAACACACACATAAAAATAGGTGGATGAATATATTTGGAAAAGGTGGGTGATTGAAATTAAAGCTGAAAATAAATTGTTTTTATGGTTTTTTTTATATTGTTTTGAATATTAATATTAAAATTTAAAAATAGATATCAAATTTAAAGCCTTTTAAGAAGATTTAATTTAAAATTAAAATTTCACTTTAAAAGCGAACCAAAAGAAGGGAAAGGCCAATGTAGTTTCAATGATAAAAAGGAAAAGCCATACAAAAATTATGAAAAAAGAACAAAGGCAAATTGATTGATTAAAGCGAAATCCATGTTGAACAAATAATTGAATACAATTAATTAAATCACAAGGGATTCTGATGCCAACAAAAAGGCATATTTCAGTGACTAATTAAAGGTTATTATATGTGCTCATATAAAAATTTGCATTAAAATATGCATTGTGTAACTGAAGAATACTCTTTTTTCAGAATACTTTGATAATTTTTTATCGTTTGTACTTTGTAATGTATTATAAAACTGAAAATCAATGTAGGGTACATGAATCTTTGCCTATAACTTTATATTTTTCATTTGTATCATTATATTTTTAAATATAATTATTTATTCAACTTCATTTACGCTCAAAGGCAAATAATAAAATATTCCGAAAATCCAAGTATGCAAGTAGTTTAACCATAATTTAATTAATGAAATGCCTTTCGTTACGCAATTAAAGGTAACTATTAAATTACATTCTAAATATGTGTGTGTGTGTGTTTTCTAAGCTAATTAAATTAAATTGTGAACTTTGAACTGCCCAAAAAAAGCCGAAACGAAAATAAAAGAATCCTCGGCTCAACTTGAGCCAAATAAAAAACGCATTAATACTCATTTTAGCGACCATTTGAGTTTAATGGCAATAAGACAACGAGCGGCTGGGGGGAGGATTTTGTGGGTGGGTTGTGTATACACATACATATGTATAATATGTGTGTATGACAAAATGTTTTTGCCATTGACCGCCAGAGAAAAACGAAAATGGCGAGCACGGTCAGAAAATGGAGGCGAATCAAAGTAAACCTTTCTCAAGCTTAAATCACATAAGCTAGATTTATATACAAAAGGCCTACACACACACACGGAGAGAAAAAGTGGGCGGGTTGGGGGGGGGCCTTATGAATGCTTAATTGCCACACGCTGGGAAAATCTGCTCAATGTGCATCATCCATGGCAATCTCTAACTGAATTTATACAAATGTGTTACATATTTCCCTCGGCCTAATTGATAACTTCCGACCGACCAGGCCGAAGTTCCCTGCACATTTGGGGGGAGGGTATGGCCATTTCGGTGGGTGTGATAATGAATTCAGATTCACTGCCAGAGCTCAAGTCGGTCTCTGACTTTGCGTAACATTTTCCAGATGCTGCATTGCCTATATATGTATGTATATATGTACAGCTTGTGTTTATTCTTGCGAGATGGAAAATGGAAACTGTACTTGCTAAGTAGTAAATTTCATTTTAAAAACCCCCAATAATAATTTAAGCAAAGATAGTATATAAGTCCACTTTGTTTATTTAACTATTTAATTAAAAGAGAATAGCTCAGTAATAGCAGGATTTAAAAATAAATTTAAGCAAATACCAGCCAGCATTTAATTGTCTTTGCAATCAGTTAATGTCTTATCAATCAAGGATTTCAACTGCGAAGTTATCTGCCCTCTATAAATCTCACTTTCTTTCTTTGACTAAGCAAATCCCATTGAAAACAACGTGTCGTATGCGTGATGTATGAACCCTATAGAGCTTATCAAGCCACCTGAAACTCTGTCTGCAGGTAAATAACTTGATTTTCCGTCACGTTTTTTAGGAACATTGATAAAAGCAATTTCTAATTGGTTTTTAATTACATTTAAAGGCATTTACTCACCTCCATACATCACGAAAAGGGTTATTTTCAGCATTATCAGGTTGGGATTGATGCCATGTCGCTGGCAAAATTCTCCGAATCGCGACAGTTCGACCTTTTCCGTTTTTATGGGCTCCGTGGCCATTTCCTCGTTGACCATTTTCCCCATTTTCCCCGCCACTAATACACACGGGTATTTGTTTTGAAGTTCGTTTCAATGGTTAGGGGAAAATTGTCACCGATCTAAGTTTCTCGGTCACACACAAACACACCCAGAGAAAGAGAGAGAGAGAGGGACACACACCCGGACTAACACATTGCGAGACACTCAAAATTAAATCCCTAGTTTATTTTGCTTTTTACGATTTCTCTCGTTTTTTTGTGTGAGGCTGGCTTTTTCTTGTGATTTTGATTAAATTCAATTGAAATTTGTGATCATCAAGGCGGACTAAGCAAGTTGTTGTTGCTATGTATATATGTATGTATTATTCACTTGCATATATGCACTTTCAAATGGTGTTTCCTTTTATTTCAAATACTCGAAACACTTGATTCTTATTCACAAATATATTCTTTAGTATTCAAATTCAATTAGATTTTCCGTTTTCCTCACAATTTTCAAGGTTTCCCTACTTTAGGCACTGACACACAAGCACACACACTGACAGCTTTTCTTTACAATTTGTTATTCCAAAAATTTCTTTGCGGTTTTTGATTTCTTTGATTTCAGTTGCCGTTTGAACTTTTCCAGTCGCCGTTCGCTTTGTGACTGAGCTAAAGGAAAATGAAAATCTCTTATCAACCTCTCAACCTCAGCCATATCTCCTCCCAGATCTCATATCCCCAGATCCCCCACACGATCATCATAATGATGATGCTGATTCTAACTTAAATTGAAGCGCTCCTCTGTGTTGGTGACAGATCTTGAGCTCTTCTCGTTGTTGATGCGACAGAAGATCGCCGAGAGATAATGTCTCCCGTATTTCTTGAATGGAGATAAAAAAAGCCAACGGAACCTGAGCGACGGCTGACGTGCGACAATGTCGCGATCTCCGCAAGAGTGACTGACAGATCTGGGCAGAGCGGTGAGAGATCAGGGAAATCTCGGAGAGAAAATCCGGGCGAAACAGAAACGCTTGGTAGGCCAAGGTTCAGTGGAGATATTACCCCTTAAAAGATACGACAAGGAATAGCAAATAATGCATGGAAAAATAACAATTAACGTTTGTTTATAAGTTGATCTGGCGAACTATATTTGGCAGCTAAGTTATAGTAGGTTTTCTGTTATTTTTCTTTAGTGAATTGCATATGTTTTTAAATATTAACAAAATATATCTGCACATTTTCCTAAGCCCTTTGCTTACATTTCCGCCTTAACCAACATCAGCCGTATTCAAAAGCCGTGAAAAAATCGCCTTTCCACTCGAAAATTTCACCATGAACAGCCTGGGGACTCTTAAAGGTGTTGGAACTGGAAAATCTTTTAAAAATCTCAAAAGTTTTATGCATTTCCTCGCAGAAAGTCTCTTTATTTTTTTCAAACGTTGTGAACCGAAGCTAAGACCGAACTCAACTGACCAAAATCAAAGGCACATTTTCGATAAGACTTGAAAGGCAACAAAACGCATTAACTGATAGGGAAATTACAATGGCATAACGATTGATTGATTGGGATCAAAGCACGTGTTGTTCGAGGCCTCTAATTAGCACTCTCCCTCTGTCTGGGAAATATTTATGGCCCCACTGACCCGGCCTAACCTCCGTATTAAAAATATAAAAACCTTTATGCATGGAGCTTAACTGATTAGCCGCGCTTCCTGAACGGGGGAGTTCATAACTTTGTTTTGTTAGTTGAGGCAGCGGCCAACGGATAAGATAATGGGATTCCATCCCATGTGTCATGTGAGTGCAAAGTAAAATATTTGTACTGTCTCGGCACGGAGCAGAAAACTACAAATGGTATATCTAATTCGGAGAACGGAGGACCGAAAGTGATGATCAGTTTGGTGGCGCTTATAAGTCACCTTCGCGGTCCTTTACGACTCGGGTTTCATTTTATCTCTTAATCTATTCAGTTGTCAAAGATACAGGGAGTATCGGATGCGGCGAGTGTAATATACTTTTATATTTAGCACGCATCTATCTGAGATGGATATGGGAGATATCAGGGGGGCAAACACAAACATGTTGTAAAACAAAATACGTAAGCAAAGTTGTCCCAGACTCCCGTGCCCATTTTTTGTTTTGCCTTTTTTATCAGCGAGGAGCACAATCAGAAGCTGCAGCGAAATCAGAATCAGTACAGCTAAAGGCAAGGTCTTAGATGTTTTGTAAATTATATTGTCCTTCAAATTCTGTTAAGCTATGAAACTACGTGTTTTTATGTTAGGAATTTATTTTGTAAGTCGACGGCTCCAAAATCTTACATAGGAAACTAAAAAATTTGTATTTTTAGATGCCTAGATGTAAGGATTTAAGCTATTATATATTATTATAGACGCGGCAGAATGCCTAAAATGCTATGATAACTGTGATGCTGATAACTGTGGTCTGCGACCAGAGCCTTGCAAATTGGCATTGCAGGCAAATAATCGACCTGCAATGATAGCCTTTTCCATATATGGTTGACAATAGTCCGCAAATTTGTGATACAAGATACGAAATTAACCAGATTCCTAAAGGATATTAAAGGAAACCCATACAAAAAGCCTGACGTCCAAAAGCTATTTACTACGTGACCCGAAAAAGCAAAGCAATTTTATAGGGACATTTTTACCGAGTATATGTATAAAGACATTGGAGCAGTCGAAAAAGTATCCCCCAATTACCTTTGCAGAAGGCAACACCTCAAAACTAGAAAAAGTCGGGTTGCTTCCGAAACAGGCGCTGAAACAACGGGCTTACATCATGAAGTTGGCTGAATCATAAGGATAATTGCTCTGATTGTAGCACAAACCCAAGAGAGTAAGCCAAATTAAATCAATCTAATTAATTTTTCAAAAATTTCAAATATTTTCTCTTTACAGATCTGATCAAACTTGAAAATAAGACTCTTTAAAAGAAGAAAAGAGAAAAAAATGTTTTTTTTTTTTGGGGTTTGACAAACTTTTTCCAGTGTAAAGTAAGCCCAGTTAGATCCTAGTTGGATTAATCATATCCTAGTTGGAGGAAGCAAATTTCTTTGCTTTTTCTCCAATCAGAGGGCGTTAGCGAGCTCAGGTGTGTTATCCCAGCGGTGAAATTGGAAACTAAAATAAAGTAAGAAGAACCCGTTAGAGGGCGTCACCATTAAATTTTGATTTTTCTAAATGAGAAAATTGGGCAACACTGTTCGCTGTTGGCAACACTCCATTGCTGTCAGATTTTTCGTTCATCTCTGTTAACTTACATTTGACATTTTACACTTAGAATCTGGCATCGCTGGTCTGTTTACGTGTAAAACGTTACCAAAATATCGATGTTTCGATCGATGTTTGCCCACCTCTAAGTCTGTTAACGAAAACAGATCCTTAGAGAGGATAATGTTATCTTACTCAATTCTGTGATCGAAAGCAATTCTATGTTAACAAACAGTGTAACAAATCATTTTACTTACATTTTACATTCTACAAGAGAATTCGACCCCAAAAACGAGAATTCGACCCCAAACTTAACATTCCCATAGAAAATTTGACACCGTTGTTCTGTAAACGTGTAAAACTTTGTTTTGACAATTTACTTTTACACTTACACTTGCTAAATATTAATTATATTAATACTAAGTATAAATAGGAGCTAAAAAATATAAAAAAAATACAGAAAATTAAAGAAAAATAAAGGCGATTTTTTAAAATTAATATCGATGTTTTAATCGATGTTTAAATCGATGTTTTTCGTGTCTTATCGTGTTTTTTCCTGTTTTTTCATCTCTATTCATGTTGTTTCATGTCCGTCCATCTGTTTGGACGTGTTAATCGGCTGCTCCGCTTCGTCGTCGTTTCGCGCGCGTGTGTGTGAGTGTGTGTTTCTTTGCCTGTGTTTTTGTGTTTGGCGGCGTGCGGCGTTTGCAAAGAAGAAGAAGAAGTAGCGAAGAAATACAAATAATATTCAATTAGTCCAAGTGTCTGATTAAGTCGCAGCTATTATCTTGACCGGACCGAGATTAGATAAAGAGGTGGCCAAATACAACGAATAGTGTGCGCAAAACAGCGGGCAAAAGCAGAAAAGCACAAAAAAGCAAGGAGAAAGAAGGAAAAGAAGAAGTTCAAAGCCACACACACGGCGTCCCTCTGTGTGTGCTTGTGTTTGTGTGTGCAAAAAATTGTAAGTGTGTGCGTGTGTTGTTTTTGTTGTTGGTGCACCTGTCTGCAAAAAGTAAAAACAGAAAAACCATAACAACAAAAACAAAAGGTTGAGGGAATTTAGAAAAGAATTTCCCAAAAATTAAAAAAAAAAAACAATTAAAAAAATCTAAAAACAAAAAATAAATCATATTTAAAAAATAAAAAAATACGGAACCGGAAAGATACACAGAAAAAAAAGGTTTTTGGGAAAAGGAAACCCGTTGAAAGGAACGAGACAAACAGGAATCACTAAAAATAACTACAAAAATCCTGTTTTATCAGCAATATTCGAAGGAATTCCCCACTAAAGGTGCGTTTGACCCATTTTCAATAAGTGAATTTCCATTTTCGGGCCTGTTTTATTCTTGGGGGTTGACGAATTCCTTCAGAGCCCGGAGGATGTGCTGCGTGTGTGTCGAAATTCGGTGTTTTTGCCTAGACTTTGGGCTAAAGGTGGATGGATGAGCCACCCCCTTTTGGGGGTGGTTTTCCGCTCTCAGCTGAGCGCGGCCTCGCAATTTCTCAATGTGTACATATTTTGAAGGCCATGTCGCAAGGCCCGGCAACAAAAAAAGCATCAACACATTGAAGGTTTAGGAGTCTGCGGAAGTTAGAACTGGAAACTGGTAAAAAATTTCTGAAAGTGTAAACTATATATCTGAAAAGTTTATTTTAATTAATATTGTAATAAAAAGAATTGCAGAAAAAGTAGCTTAAACAAAATGTACTTTTTTACCAAGTTAGTTTTCCTAAGAATCATTGATTTTCAACAAAAAAGAGCGTTTTTGACATTACATTTAACTCGTTCTACGCTTAAATTCCTAGTAATCTTTTCAAGGTTGTGTATTTTTTCTATCCCAAAACTTGCAAAATATTTAAAGAATCTCATAAAATCCAAAAGGCCTGCAATCCGTTTAAATTTTAAACCAAATAAAACCATAAAACCAGCCAAACCAAACCAAATTGCTGAACTTGACCCAAACACATGCATTTAACACTAAGATCCAGCCGCCCCCTCGCCACCTCTTTACGGTCCGGTGATCTAGATAAATGCAGAGGGGCATTTCAAGAGTTGCACAAGGCATCCCCCAATCCCCCCCCTTCCTCCCAGTAGACACCTATAATCTTTTTCAAAAAGCTCACACGAAATAAATCAGTGCAACTTGGACACGTTTCGTCTAGGAACTAGACAGAGACAGCATCGTCAGCAGCATTAATCACAATGACTAATTTGTGAAGTTTTCCCCTGCGTACTTTGTGGTGTTTTCATTTTGAGCCGACGGCAGCGGCCGGTTTAAGCCCATTAAAGTTACCCAAGGGTTAAAAATAAATTGCGGCGGGAACACACACACTGGGAGCTCGGGAAGAAGAGCGGAAGGCCGAACAAAAGCTGTGAAATAAAAGATCTTGAAGCGATCGTAATAATACCCTAT